AGAGAGAGAGAGAGAGAGAGAGAGAGAGAGAGAGAGAGAGAGAGAGATGGAGGAAAGCTGGCTCTTCAACGTTTGGCAACGTTTGGCGGCCTAAATTCTCGCACTTGTCAAATGCAATTCAGGACGGCTGAGCGAAATGCACAAATTGTATACCCCAGCAGAGTAGCACATAGATATACCGATGTAGAAACAGACGAATAAATGCTTGATCGTTTGCGTCCGTTTGGCGCTTTCTTCGCAGCACCGTGACCTGCTCTTCTCCTGCTAGCCTTATACGCCCACGCGATCGTCCCTCGTCTCATTCCGCAGGCAGTTGCAATCCTCCCAAGCTACAAGTGTTCAGTGCGTTGACGATCGGAACGCGGCGGGAAACACTCGGCGTTCTAAACAGCTAGTGAGTTATGCGCACGGGTACGCTTACTTCGAGCAGGAAATCGAGGGACTCGTCTTCCAGCCCAGCGCTCTCAGCCTGTACGACTTCCGCGGAGTGTCAGTCAGTCATTTATATAGCTATCAGGGAGCATACCTGGGATATACACAACCCCGCGGAGGCGCAGCTCCACGCGTTGGCGACCGGGAGAAGCGCGTCAACGTTGGTTAGCTGGGATCGGCGGACGAGTGGAGGGGGAACGACTCACTCCTTGGATTTGCGCGCCCCCTACCATCGCTGCTGCCGGCCAAGCCCTGCTATGCCTGGGGCGCTGCGCTCGGTACGCGTGAATTCAATCGGACCAATCGGACCCTTCGTCGAAACACATCTGCTCAGCGCCGCCGCCGCCCTCGAACCCCAAGCCCCGACCCCGCGCGAGACGGCCGACACTCTGGGACTGCCCACGCGTTCGTCGCCATACAGCCTCCACCTTTGGGGGACCCGTCAGCCCCACCCGTGTTCCTCCCCCCTGCCCACTCTCCCTCTCCCCGCCTACCGCCCTCTACGGTCAGCTCCCCGCTCTGGCGTATCTTCCTGGAACGCGGTCGAGCCCGCACACCTGGAGGGCCGCCCGCGCCCGTGCTCAAGCTCGCGGCCTTCTATGTTGGCGCCACGCGTGGCCCCTTACTCCCGCCACCTCCGCTCGGACGCTCTTGGAACGCGCAGAGCAAGAGGCCCGACCAGCCGACCCCCGTCCGCGTGTTTTCTGGCCAGCTCCTAACCCCACTCTCTTGTCGCGACGTCTCCTGGCCTACACGCCGCGCCCCCCCTCCCTCGTCTTCGCACTCGTCGAACCGCGCTCGTGCCCTCCAGGCCCATGCCCGACCTCCTCCCTCGCGCCCGCTCTCCCCGCTCGTCCCCAGCTTCGACTGCATTACTAGCTCGATCTTTGCGCGACCTAGATGGCCTCACCCGGCCTGCCGCCCCGTGCTACGCGCTGTCCTCCACCGGGGCGCCTCCAAGCCCCGACCACGGGCATCCGGGCCCCCCTGCCGCCCGCCGGTGTGCCGATAATTGGGCCCTAAGTCCCCCGAGCTCCATACCGCACATATGCACCCGAACATGCGCGCTCCAAGCCCCGCGCCCTGGTTCTCTTCCCGCCGCGCGCTGTCGTCCACTTCGCGCCGCTACGCGCGGCGCCGACCGGCCCCGCCCCGCGGCCCTTCATCTCGAGGACGGATTCGCCAGACCGGCGCCCAGGAGACTGCGGGATCCGGGGCGGCAGAGCTCATACGTCGTAGCGGGGTCGGGTTGGAGGGAGGGACGGCGCAGGCTCTCCCGGTGACACGGGCGAGAGGTGTAGACACGGCGGCCGAAGCATGGACGCGAAGCTTTCGCGACAGGGTGATGGCAACGGCAGCGTGCACTCAGAGGCTTCCACCACACAGATAGCTGGATGAGATTGGTGGCGTAATTCAAGTATATCCGGAGCAAGCTGTTGGGCGGTCCTTGACGCATATCACACCCTACGTACACGCACTAGTACTCGTACCCTTCGTACAGACGCGACCATGCCTCGAACCCGTTCTCGATGCCATGGACCCCCAGAGCAGGGTTAGGCGCCCCGCGCTGGGGGATATCCCTCGGCGCGTCGAGCATGTCGATCTCGAGCCCCAGGCGCGGCATGTCCTCGAGGTTGGCGATCCTCACGAGCATGGTGTGCGTACCCGCGGGGACCTCGAATGGGGCGTCTACATCGCAAGTCCTCCACTCGGTTTTTTCATGGGACCAGACCTCGAAACGCGGCCTGGCCTGAGCAGCCATGGTCGCGGCGATGTCGGAGTGATCGTCGAGTCGAATCGACGCGTTCGCATCGAGAGGGACGAGGCGAGAGCTGGGGAGGAGGTCGTCCTGTCGCATTGTCAGTATCTTTACAATCGGTAGGACATGTAAGGAGGCACATGGAGTACATACGTCACGCCAGAACACAATCCAGACGCCATGGATAGTCACACCCCGCGCCATCACTTGATGTCTGTATCGTCCAGCGGCTTCGACGAGGTCGCTCACACTGTTGATGTCCAGCGCGCCTTGTTGCTGCTGGCAGTGAAGTTCGAGACCGAATTGTTCGCAGCGCGTGACCGTGTCGACGCGGACGAGGAGCACCGTGGCATCCCGAGAGAGGGCCAGATCCATGAGGTCGTCGATGACAGGCAGCCAGTTCTGGAGGCCAGTTTCCCAGTACTCGAACGGGTAGGGGTCCTGGGGGTCGTGGTCTGGGAGGAGGTGTCCGAAGAGCCCCAAGCAAAGAGGCTTATTGGCGTCGACCCTGACCTCCGTTCGCGTGGGCACCGCGTTGTTCTAGATGTGTCCAACATTAGTCCATGCATGACATTTCTTTCAATGGTGCCTACCGTAGCCCACACGACCACGTCGAGGATGCGCTGTGTTTGGGAGGGGGCTGTTCAGCGCAACACCTGCAAACAAGTCACGACGTACATACCATGTTCAATCTGGAGGCGGCGTTAGCGTCGTTCGCTACGGCCCGGGCGTTGATAGTCGGTGCGGTGCTCCTGGTATTGTTGATATTCTCCGCCAGCATGACCTGAGGAGCAGGTGCATTGTATGGGCAAAAGGTCAGTATGGCGTACCTGAGCTGTGGTTCTCACATACCTGGCCCTTCTCCATGCGTAGTGCGTCAGAGACCTGCTGACGACGCTCGGCGACGGCGCGGCGCTTCAATGCCACCTTGGCCGCGTCTGCAACCTTGCGTTGAGCACGCTCCGCGGCCTTCTGAGCTTGAGCGGCCTGGCGAGTAGCCTTCTCCACGGCTCGTTGGCGCTTCTTGACCTCGCGCATAGCCCTCTTGGCCTGCCTTCGAGCTTCGTCATCCTCGCGCTGACGTCGGCGCTTGTCCGCTTCTGCCTGACGTTCCAGCTTGCGACGGGCTTCCTCCTCGCGGTCGAAGTGGCGACATTCTTCGATGAGGCGCAGGACGTATTCCGTGGGCCCGGGCTGCCACGGCCAGTGGATGCCGTGGCACAAATCGCACTACGATGAGATGATTGTCAGTGGATACTGTGATCCTCTAGTACCGTCACTACTCACCACGTAACCCCAAGCTCCAGCCCATCCTTCAGCGTAGCACAGCTGTGCTGTAAAGGTAGTGCGCGCCTGACAGTTGCGCTTCGGACAGAAGTGCGGAGCTTCAGGCATACGGTCGAGGGAGTCCAGCTCGCACAGCTGCCTCAGCTCCGGGCTGTAGATATCCCTACCCCGGGGGTTCGCGACATAATGACTACGCCCACGGATGCGCACGAGGCGGTACTGGCGAATTAAGTTGAGCTCCGGCATGGTGCGGCGGTGTGCAGGACAGGGAGAGGACAACAGGAGGGGAAGAGGACGAAGAGCCGATCTAGCACGCTGCGGTAAGCGGGTATGGGGAGAAGAGCGGATGAGCTCACGGAGGGAAATTCCTTGGTGCGACCTGGTCCTCGACGCACATTTTTATCGTCTCCTGCGCCCGGGTGAACACCGTTTTGACCGCCTCTCCAAATTCCGAATTATTTGCACCGCTGTGTCTAGCCCCTCGACACCCCTTTTGGACGTATTCCGTTCTTGCGTCAGCCTTGTTTTTCGACCGCTTTCACGAAGGTCCGCATTATTTGAACCATTATATCTCACACCGAGATCGACAATATATTTTACGCGCGCCGGTGTCACTCGTTCCGATCCCTAAATCGGGGAGCCAAATCGTAGGTACATTGCAACCGCTACTCAGGCCCTGTCGATGTCGATCGCGTCGTCAGCCGTTTCGCCGTGGGTCAAGTCGATCACCTCCTTGCTGCCCTGTTGCACGAGAAACACGCGAAGGCCCTCCCGCATGCTCAGCAACTGCTCGCGTCTCTTGGCGATGCGTTGCTTCATGCTAGCGGAGCGCTTCCGCTTGCGCACAACACCTCCCCCTCCAGCCGGGATGCGCCAATCTCCTTCGGCGATCACGACGGTCGCGTCGGACTCATCACCGGAGGAGAGGCTGATAACCTCCTCGCTGTCTACGACGTCCTGAGGAGGTCTTAGTATCGGAAGAGGTTGCTTGCGAATGTCGCCTACCTGCCAATCCCCAACTTGAGGCGCACCCCATTCCAGCGGCCCGAGACCGGCGTTGTTGACGGGAACCTGTAGGGGCATGAGCGAGGTTTATGCTCATGAAGGTCATTATAGCACACCTGGGCAGGCGGGGGCCCCCATTCGACGGGCACATGGTCCGCGTTATCGCCGTCGTCCTATGAACTTGTGAGCAATTTTGACATGACGGTGTAGCACGTCGCGTACCTGCGCATATGCGTTCCAATCCGCGACTAGAGCTCCAGGGGCCTCGTCCTGTGGAATGTCAAAAACCGCACGGCACTAGAACTCGGCCACTCACGTCGAGATCCTCGTAGTACGCGCGAGACGAGTCCTGCGCCTCTAGTTCCGTGCCCAACCCCACGACGAGGCAGGTTGAGGACGTCTTGACGAGGATGGTCTGCCCGTTGCGACGCACTGGGAGGGTCGTCCACAGCGAGCGCGAGAACCACCGTCCAAACGGATGGACCCAGACGTCCATCTCAACGTCCGCGCTGAGAGCACCGATGATGGACACACTGTCGGGGGCGCCGCCTTCGCAGATCGCCGCGCGGAAGGCGCCGCATTGACCTAGGCAAACCGTGTCGTTGCTTGCGGCGGGAACGAGGAATATGAGAGGTCCCTCGGATCCCTGAGCGCACGAGGGGTCAGCTTGTGGGACATCAGCATTGAGCTGAAGGCATGAACAAACCTTGAGCCACAGAACGACACGTATAGCCTTGCCCTCCTTCACATCGCCCCGACAGTCCTGCTCGACGACGTCGTGGGGCATCTCCTTCAACCCGGCCACCTCGTACACCCACGCCAGCTCGTACCCAATGAAGGGCACGAGTTCTGCGCCAGGGAAACGCACCACATGGACCCAGAAATTGGGTCTCGCGACGCCCGCCGTTTCTGCTGTGCAGGCAATCCACCCACCCCCGCGATGACCCCACACCTCTATCTGCGCGTTGTGCAGGTCCTCGAACTCGTCGGCAACCGCCTGGATTCCCTTGAGAGCGTCGAGGATAGACTGGCCGTCGTAGAACGTCGTTCGAATGGCGTCCTTCTCAGTCTAAGCATGGTGTCCTGTCAGAACTGGCGTAGAGATGGCCAGCGACAACACTTACCGCGAGATACACGCTCAATATGTTCGCATTCATAGTGGGCGAGAACGCGAGGGTGCTGGTAGGGAGGGCGTACCAGTGGTAGAGGAGATTTATGGCGTGCTGCACACCTTGTGAACAGAACCTGACGGGGTCCGTATTTCCCAATGCGGGGGTTTCGTCTAAACGTGTATTCGGGCACGAAGACCCCATCTTCCCCGATGTGATCTGACGTGCGGATCTCCCTGGTTCTTCCGAAGGCTTATGATGCCAGGCACCTGAGACATTGCATCCTCGTCACATCCAGGCCAAACAGCGAGATACATCAGCTCAATCTAAGGTATCCCATCACGCCCGCCCCCTCCGCTTGGACGAGCCCTTGGCGGTACCGCCAGCGCCGCGTCGGGGGCGTCCGGTCGAGACGCTGCCCGACGCAGAAATGCGCTCGGTCAACGAGATCAAGCTGGAGTGGGATCAGTGTCGAAGCGCAATGTGGTTGATAAGACTGCTCACGGATCTTGACCCTGAGCACGCGCCGTCTGCGTGCGGATGCGAGACGGTCGTGAGGTAACAGCGGAGCTCGCGCTCGCGTCGGGGATCACAACTCCCGACGTTTCGGCGCCTTTACGGAGCTTCCTCCCCGCCCCTTTCGTCTTCGTGGCCGTGACCTTCTTTCCTGGGCGCTTGTTCTTCGGTCCCGCCGGGGCGGGTTCCGAGAGTTGTGCCGCCGCCGCACTCTCAAGGTTTTCACTTACCTCAGGATCTACAGCGATGTCCGCCTCTGCAATGTCAGCGGTCTCGGGGACGTCGTTCGATTGACCTGTCACATACGTTAGCGGCAAAATTCTCATGCGTACTTAAAGACTTGCCTTGAATTACGGCCCCAACGCGGAGCGCTGCAGCTGGAGCCCGTAGAGTTGGGTCAATGCAAGCGGTGATAATAGGAGCCGGAGTTATAACGTTGCAAGCTGGGATCCCTTCAGCGGAGGAGGGTTGCACGACGGGCTGTGCGGCGTCCGTCTCATCGATTGCGCGATGTTCTGTCTAGAGTCATTAAGAAGTTCAGAACAGGGATCAGCCGACGTACGCTCCATGATACGCTGAGCGTGCACCGCGAAGTCAGCAGCGTCCGCATCCTCGCCACCTGGAGGAGGGTAAGCGCCGGCGAAGCTCCAAGTTGGGTGCACGAACCGGAACGGGACTGTTCCACCCAAAGTGAGAGGACGAGGTAGAATTCTTGCTCAGTCCAACCAGCCGTCTGGCAGAGCGCCTGCAGGAAGGTGAGGCCTTGTCTGTTGACACCGCGGGACGTCCTGCGGACATGTCAGCAAGCCAGTTCCTTCATTCGGTGAGACACAGGGATCATACATATAGACAGACGGCTCGCCTGTCTCGTCCGGCCCACCCACGCAAATCAGACCGCCCCAATGTACGTTGTGGACCATGTCCATGCTGTCATCCACCGCGTTAGAGATTTCCAAGGCGGTACTGGGGCGCAAGTATTAGTGTCAACGCCCTGACGAGGATCATTCCGAACTCACAAGCCTTCATTGATGGGGACCGACTCCTCGCGCTCCGCAGCACGCTCCTTGTTCTTCTCCTCGGCGATGGCGTTGTACCTCTCTTGCTCCTCGGGAAGCAGAGCCTTCCATGCGTCGGCACATGCAGCGCGATGTTGGCCTACCGCTGCCCTGTGACGGCCCTCGACGTCGAGCACTTCAACCACCGGAGCGTCCGACGACGCTTGGAAGACGTCCAGTCCAGTCTTAGCGCGAGGCTTCCGGGCGCGCGGAAGTGTCAGGGAACGGCGACGGCGGCTGTCCCCTGCACGACGAACACCCGTGTACAGGTTCTCGCGCACCCAGTTGTAGATGCTCTACGAGTCGTCGTCAGCAACCCGGAGGAAGCGCAAGGCCACGACACACCTTCGGCAGCCTCTCCATGCGCGCGCTGAATGCGACGAAATCCTCCGGGGCATGGCGAGCGATGTCATCGCGGCGATCGCGAGACGCGTTGTTGTAACGCTTCAGCCACGCTTCTTGTGTTTCGCCCGTGCTCGGAGCAGTGAAGTGAGCACGAAACTTCTCAGTTAGAAGACCAGCGGCTCGCTTGTTCGGGGCTGTAGTTTTAGGCTCGAGAAGGATAGCTCGAACGTCCGCGTCAGACAAATGCTGTTTAAGCCAGCGGCGTTCGTCATCAGTAAAGCAGTAGTTCTGGCGCATGTAGGCAAGGCAGAGGGTGAAGGAGACTCGCCGGGTTCCACACGCCGCAACTTTGCTCTCGTAGGTCCTTGCCATTTCGCTCGTACGACGATACAGATCTGAAGGCCGATGTGAAGGTGTGCCCCTCACCACTACCGAAAGTGCGTACCTAGACTTCTGATGTCCTTCCCTGTTCATGCGTATAGTATGAGACCGGATCGTTACCGCCGCGGCCGCCGGGTAGGAAATATCGAACGAGACTGGATTCCTGCCGGTCTTAGTTAGCCGGTGGAGTGGATATGCCGCTCGTAAAGTACGAAATAGGCGAAATAGGTAAACGGTGAAACATCGAAACGAAAGTGCGAACGTAGAAATTGACGAGAACACGCTGCAGATCTGTGTACTCATCGTCTGTCCAAGTGTTCGGGTCCGTCATCCTGGCGTCTTGGAGAGCTTGAGGCGTGCCGGGCCACCGCATCACGATCGCAATGAATCTCGCCAGGTAGGTTCTGCAATCCCGCCACCGAACGTCGGGAGGGAGTATCCACCGGAACTCCGGAATGTCGGAGGAGGATGGGATGACCGAGACAACGGACGAAGGATCTCCCCACACGCCCGATACAACCGCCTCGCGCTCCCAGCGATGGATCTCAGACCAGTGTTCTCGTTGGACTAGTGCCGTATCCAACGCCATTAGTTCGCATCGAAAGTTGATTTCGTGCGATTCCCAAAGCAAAAGCCCGCGTATACGAATGTCCGTCGCAGCGTCGGCCAGGGACACCGGAACAGTTTCCAGGAGAGGTACCATGTCGTCCCTGTACGTTGGGATAAGTCCGACCCGCGTGAACAGACGACCGACAACGTTGCGCTCCTCCGTCTTACGCTTGGCGCGCAGCACCGAAGCCGTAGGCGTAGGCGGTGTGGCAAATGCCGCTTCCGAGTACTCTCCCCACAAAGCCACGCGCCACTCCGCGATGGTCATGGGATGGCAAGGGAGCGTCGGACTGAACAAACGCATTCGACAGAACGGCCGAATGCGCACGAGGTTGTGCAGGTAGCGATGGACCTTTTCGTCGACGCGTGCCGCTTCCGCATGAGGGGCCCCGGCAGGTACACATGCAAGGGTGCTGATGGTGTCGAGGAGGAACGGCGGAGGATAGAAAAAGACGGACGAGGCCGATGGCTGCGCAACCGGAGAAACACCTTGCAAAGCGTCCCTCCAGATCGGCGTCAACGTGTAGAAGGGGGAGGAGTAATACGATCGTGATGGAAAGATGGCTCGACTGGAGAGCGGAGTTGGTGTAATAGCCGGAGGTATCTCGTGCGCGCTGCTTGGTGCTGCCTCGAGCGACGGCGTAGCCGGAGCTATTTCCCCAGCCAACGTGCGCGGCTTCTTCTTCTTCTTCTTCTTCTTCGTCGAAGGTGCATGATCGGGGCCCGGCTGCGCAGGCATGACGATGTGCCTCGACGTGCCGTGGCTATCGGGGACCCGTTGGCGCTTAGCAGACGGCGACGTGTCGGGAGTGGGGGGCTCCGGGAAGAGAGTAGGTTGTGTGTCGGGACTCGGAGACAATCTGCTTAGCCGGGAGCCGCAGACGGCCTTGGAGATGTTGACCGCCATGGTGCTCAGCCAATTCCCGGTCAGGTTCACAACACCCGCAACCACCTTAGTGTTCTGATAGGCGGGTGTCGCACCCTTCTCGATCGAGAGGGAAGTAGGGCGCCGGCTTTCCACCACCTCCCAGACGGCCAACGAATGAGTGATGCCTTGGATCAGCCAAGTAGGGATGCCAACACGTGTAAGAGTTTGGGCCGTGGTGGGATCGCCCGTGAAAGCACCGAGTACGGGAAGAACGTCGAAACTGTAGTCCATGAATGACTCCATGCGGTGGAAGACTGTCTGCTGGTAAATGCGAAGGCCGGCCAACTCCAACGAGACTCTCTGAACATGCGCGCCTACAGCCACAGCTATACCTGATGTCGAGGGCATCTTCTCCATACGTTCCACCGCCTGCCTGAGGATCATGACTAGGAGCCGGCCATGATCCAAAAGAGCCTTATCGGCTGGATGGGCACCATTGAACACGCGGACAGCCTGAGATGCCGCTTCGCGGAGCGGAATCAGGACCGCATCCTTGAGGTATCCCATCCCCTGGAATCCCGCGGACCTATCCGCTATCCAGTCCCTCGCAGGGGAGAGCGTGATGAAAAGGATCTCCGGATCGGCGGGAGGGCATGGCGCATTGGGGATACAGGAGATGTGCGGCATCGAAGAGATGAACCTCTGAGGCCACCGCGAGTACTCGTGAAGCCCCCAGAGACCGTCAGAGAAAGTTTCGACGACTTGGCGTTCAACCGGAAGTCGCGGAACGTAAGACATGTTGGGGGAGGTTATGCAGAAGCCAGATAACGCGTCCTGGGAGGCGACCTTGCCTTCAAACGACTGGCAAACCATAGGCGCTACAATAGGGTCATCAGCGTCGCGAGACCTGCGAATATGGCATTGACTTACCACGACCCCGTCTTGTCACTCGTAGCGAGGCGGGCGGCACTCCCGGCTCAAGCGGAGGGGAAACATTGCATGCGGGATCGACAGAGACATCGCTGATGTGGTGTGTGAGGTCGGGCAGGACACGAGATTTCTCGGCGACTTACGGTCTTTTTTGGCCGGCATTAGCAGACGAGGATTGCGAAGAAGAGGATGGTAAAGGCGGTGGTGGTACGAGTGGTGGTGGGGGTTGCGATGGCGGTTCAGCAGGTTGACTCTCCTGATTCCGTTTCCGGAAGCTGAGGTGAGCGAACCCGCTGCGTTGCATGACGCGATGGGCTCAGCGAAGAAGTTCCTTCGTAGTTGCGGGGGCAGGTCTTACGGCCGGTCTTGCGGTCTTGCGGAATATCCTCAGTCGTCTTGTCTTGCTGACAGAGTGGAGTTCTCAGCGAGTGCGCGGAACTCTACCAATCTGTATATCGACCCCAGTGCACGACAAGTCACGCTATAGAGCTGGCTCAACGTGGACGGGTGTACTTGCTGAGAGATCGTCGTGGTAGTTGAATTCAAGTGTGGTCACTAGCAGTTGGTGGGTAGACCAGTACGTAAGACTGACAGCAGGATCGATCCCATCGATAGTCGACCGTAGAATTGAAAGGCCGCATACGAAGTTCAAAACCCGATTATGGCCATTTGGCACGATCTTTTGGTTCAGCTACATGACATAATAGTTAGCTCAGCTGTATTGTTCAATAGTTCAATGTCGGGAAGCCGGTCCACATTGTCCATGCGACTCGCGAGGCATGGTCCAGATCCTCCGGAGCCGCAAAACTCTAACGGCAGGCGTCGATGAGAGACTGCTAGATGTTCTATAGCGAGATCTCTACCACACCATCCCCACCTCTACTTCGACTCCAAGGAGACCCACTACGAACACCCTCTGCTTAACTCCATTGCGCGATCTATCACTGCCCAGCAATGTGACGGCCGCAAACGCAAATACCTCCTCCCTGAATGTCACTTTGGCAAGACGTGCGCTATGCTCCTCAGCCCGCCTTTCACCACACTGGCACCTCCGACACCGCACGTCATCGATGTATTTCCCGCATCCCACTGCCACCCTCATGTCTTCCCGCTATATGGCGGTAGATAACTGAAGGGATACCTGGCTACGCACCTTACGCTGCTGGTCACATCCAGAAGTGCCAGGTGCGTTTTCCCTTCCAGTCTCTCAACACTGTGTGCAGGCCCAGTAACATGTCCTCGTCGACGAGAGCGCCTACGCGCTCGCCGGAGGCCGTTTCATATGTTGCTAGTATGTCCCCTCCACCGACCGTTTTCACGCTGACCAGCCCGTAGCGGTTAGCCGACTCGGCTCGCAACCTTGCCCGGAAGTCCGTTCGTAGCACACCTGTCGCATGGCTGCAATCGGGTTACGACGATATGCTACATGAATATATACGTATCCACATTAGATATCCCATCATGTCGGACATCTACGTAGATTCAGAAGGGGTCGCTTGTGGAAAAGCGTGGGAATACGAACTTGTCATATTCGTGAATGCGCGCTCTCGTGAAGGCGCACCTTGTGGTACCCTTCATGTCCTCCCGCGTCAGGCAGAAGGCCAAAAAAGGTCTTTCGCGTATATCCGACCTTTTGAAGGGCAAGTCCAAGCGCGACCAATCCCCGAAAATCGCATCCCACGTACCCACCACCGTGTCTCCGACCCTTGGCGCTTCTGAAGGCAACAACAGCGAACTCAATAAATGTCCAACTCGCGATGTATTCCAACCCATCTGGTCTTCGAATCCGCCGGCCGCTCCAACCTCTCCTATACGCACCGCCGACTTACTAAGGCCCTTGCCGCCGCTGTTCGGGAACCCATCTGACCCATTGCACTCGAAGACTGCAGACGCTGGCGCGGCAGCCTCGTCGCAAGCTCGGAAGCCGGCAGTGCGGCGACGTACTGTCACGGTGGAGGACGCCTTGGATGATGATGAAGCAGAAGTACATGGTGGGGGAGAAACGGAGGAGCATGTGTACGGAGCATATCACCTGGTGCGTGAGCGCCTTCAGCTTAACATGCATGGCATCATTGACGAGGGGCCCAGCCGTCCACCAAAGGGGAGAAGTTCCTCGACGCGCATGCGTGCCATGCTCTGGATAGCATGGATGCTTTGGAGGCGCCACCGGTCCAGTTGATTCGCTGCCCCTCCTGCGCTCAGAAACTCTGCGACAAACTCCCTGGGTACCGCACGTTGTTTCGCTGCCAAGACTGTCCACTTGGCTGTCTCAAGTGCATCGACTGTGTACTATCGAGCCACGGTGAACGTCCTTTCGACCGCATACTAATGTGGGACGCGACAAAGCAGTTCTGGCAGCGCATTACCCTTCCTCAAATGGGCTATGTCTTCAACCTTGGCCATGGCGGGCGACAGTGCATGAACACATCTTCCGACCCTAGGGATATGGTCATCATCCATGAGCACGGATTGATGGACCTCCCGGTCCTGTTCTGCCAGTGCGGTTCCGCGCGCCCCCCGGCTGCTCAACTCATCGCTTCCGGACTTTGGCCTGCTACTTGGGAGCGTCCTGGTACGGCCACCACACTGAACGCCCTAGAAGCCTACCACAATCTGAGCCATGTCGCCCAGACGAGCATGTACGACTTCATCAATCATCTGAAAGACATGACCGATGATACCACCCCCAGCGACGCTCAGGTATGCCCTCTCGTTCTGTCCTGGGAATTTTCGCACTGAAGCGTCACAGGATCGATATCGGGAGTTCAAGACGACGATGCGACAGTATACGTACATCCAACAGTGTCGACGTGCGGGTGTGCGGCCAGCACGCGAATTGCCCCGAAGGAGTTTGATTGTACTATGCCCTGCGTGTCCACAGCCCGGAATCAACATGAGGGAGAGGTGGAAGGAAAGAGACGAAGTGCACAGGTAAGTGTTTCTTTCGAGACTCGACCTCACCGTAGCCACCTGACGCCGCGTAGTTATCTGGATGCGCTCCACTATTCCATCGACGGCAACTTCCACCTCAACATGAAGAAGAAAGACACAGACCCTGACGACTTCGCGTACTCGATGGGCGCGGGGTACTTCGTCCACGAACGAGATTTTCAACACTTCCTAAGGAAGGTCCCGCCCCCGATCAATGAGGTGAGCGGTATACCTCTGTACAGCATCGCATGCACTAACGTCAAGTCAGTCATCGACGTGCAATCAGTTCGGCGCGATGGCCAACGGCAAGTACACCGGGAAAGTAACCGGCGTCATCGGCATTTCCTGTCGGCACATGTTCATGTTGCCCGGCGGCGTAGTTGATCTTCATTTTGCTGAACGGTACGTCGACATGTGCCCGAAGCCGCTCTCGCTAACGATGCAGGACGTTCAGGTACCTTTACGTCGACTTCTGTCTGGTGTCGGCTCTCTCGCACTACAGGGAACTTGGGCTGCTGTATGGGACCTACGACATACATTGCCAGTATATCAAGAACCTCCGCACACGTCTGTACGAGGAATTCAACAAGGTCGCGCACGAGCTCGAGTCAATCGATTCCGCGGAGCTTCCCATCATCAGGGCGGCGGTCGGCAAGTATCATCTCGCCATGCATACCGGTGACTGTCGACACAAGCACTCCCTCCATTTCATGCCAGGCGCATGCATGACGGATGGGGAGACGTTAGAGCGGATGTGGGCGATCCTCAACGCGCTCGCGAGACGCACGAAGGAGATGTCCGCCGGGCACCGACACGACGTGCTAAACGACACCTACGCGGACATGAACACTCGACGATTGCAGGGTTTAGGTATCGTCGCGCATCCAGACCAGCTGCCACCTCGTGCTGATTTGTGCAGTTTATGAACTTGTAGACAAGCACAACACGGCGGAAGAGTTATTTGAAGAAGCCCAAGCGTATCTATCGGAGTTGGAGCAAAGCATCGCTCCAGAGAAGGTAGATAGATGGCGTCAAGAAGAGGCCGAATGGCAGCGTAAGGTCGTGGACGTCAGGCAGCACAAAGGGCTCGACAACCCGTTCGAGCCGCCCGAGGAAACAGGTACAAAGAGTGAATCCAACGCGATCCCGTTATTGACAGATCTCTAGCTTTGACGACACAGGCGATCGCTGAGCACCTAGAGCAAATGCACGGAGCGGCAGGCGAACGCGAGGCGGTGGGTATGCTGGGAGCAATGGAGGAGGTTTTGCGCCTCAACTCCACGCGGTAGGACGAATCACCACCTGGTGAACAAGGTTACTGATTCATCCGACAGCGAAAATCTCCGTCACGAGATCCAAACGTCGTCCCGCACGGAGAAGGATAGGCGCAAATTAACGACACAACTCGAGGCGTTCGTCAAACAGGCAGCCGGCTGTCAAGAGATGCATGCACGCTACTTGCAACCGTGCATCTCCGCCGCGATCCAAAGCATATCCGCCACGGGTCACCCAAGCACCTTCCCGAGGCGTGACCCCGTCGACGATGTCGCGTGCGGCATTACAGCTGGCACGCCCGTGGATTCCGGTAAGAAAAGGAAGCGGGCTGAGAACTCGGCGTCTCCCTTTGCCACGCTGCTGGCCGACCTAGATGATCCCGCGACGCAGTTCCTTCTACCGTCCGACTATCACAGCCACATCCGAGGCGCCACCTCTATGACAGAACTCGTCAACTTCGAGCGCGAGCTCAGGCGCGGTCAAGCCAATGAAGCTCTAGACGACCTCCGGCTGCACTTGACGACATATCTATCTCTCGAAGACCGCAAACGGCAGGTCTCTGGTGTCATTCGGAATACGGCGTGGGACCGACGACTGACGAAGAAGACAGCCGCCATAAACGCTGCGAAGAAGGAATACAGGCAGGTCAGGCAGACACTGCGTATTCTAGGTATGCCCGAAGACGACGAGCACCTCCAGCCTCTAGAAGATAAGGACTGCAAGCCTTTCGTGATCGTCGTAGAAGAACAACAGCACAGCGACAGCAAGCGAAAGCCCACCTGGATTTGGGGTAACTTTGCATATATCGACCAGATTGAACCGGGGGAGATAAAGAACTATCTCGAAGATTGTACGCGTCTTACGTCTTCGCGAGCGACAACGCACTGACGCTAGGCCCGTACAGGTGCCCGGGTACATTGGTTTCAACAGAGCGCACGCAAACAACGATGGGAGGAAGAGTGCTATGTGCGCAGAGAGGAGATGTTCCGTACTAGGAAGACGTACCACCACTATCGTCAGATGTGGAGAAAACGAGCGGTGGGGCATGCGATCCATGGCAAGGGCGGCGCCGCCGCCTACGCGCGCAGGTACACGGCTCACTTTGGGCGACGGTGATCAATGGTCTGATATATTATTCGAAGGCAAGCAGCTCAGTGGGAACGCAGACTCGACGCCGCGCATCGACACTTCCCCGCGATCATCGATGTGGTTAGTCCGTTATAGCATGACGCACGCAAATCATGCTAACATGATAGTAGGCTGTGGGGATTCCTCCTCCAGTGCCGGCAAACCTGACGGATAACGCCCCTACTGGCGGCGTGTAGAGTGTAAAGGCATAGGTGCGCATGCCTGCGCCAGCGCCCTTATCAAGTGTTTCTGCGCTCATGGCAGTTGTGCATATGTTACCAATGGAATCAATACAAATATGAGATATCGCGAATTTAGTAGGGGTGATCGCGGATTTGGTAGGGGTCGGGGACTGCTCGAGTGCAAGGGCTGCCTCCGTCGACCCTCTGAAAGCGTGTGACTCTCCACACGCCCGTTTAGCGTCAGCTACCGCGGCGAATGAGAGTACAGAGTGTTCCGACTGCGAAGAAGGGGGAAATGATATACAGTGCTAAACAACTAGTACATCCCACTATGCGGCAGACTCTACAACCCTTATACGCCTCCTCCTGCCCGGTCGCCTCTACCATCCCCCAGACGTTCGCGCGTATCTTCCTCTACACTCCACGACCGTCGCCCCCGCGCGCCCCCGCGAGGCGCGCCACGCGCAGACCCAGGCCCGCTCGCCATCACGGCGACGACGACAGCGTAGTAGCATCGCTTCGCCTGGCGAACGTGGTTCGTGGCACTCGAGCGTGGCAGCCATTGCGCAACTCCCGCGGGGTATTCGCTGCGTCAAACGAGTGCACGGTGAGCCGCGGTCGCACGAGAGCGAGAGCAGACGGGCACCCACCTCAGCTACATTCGGGGACACAGCGAATGCGGTACCATCGCCTGAGAGACGTCCACACCATCCGAGCACAATCCTGCACGTGCACGAGCGGCCGTCCGTGCCTCGAGCTCGTCACGCACGGCTCTTTCCACACTGCTTCGTGCACACATCGACGTCGGTGCCGGTCCAGTTCGTGGAATGCTCAGCAAGTCCTCGACTACGATACGGGAGGCGCGGCGCGTCGATTGTGCTTTCTTCCCCGCTACGAGCATGGCCGACGAAGAAGTAGGCGACAATGATCACGATTGCCCTCGGCGTTCCCCCCGGCATGTGCAGTAGCTAAGCAGCGCGGTACACATGTCCCGCCGTACATTGAGATCTTCGCATCATTTGCTATGCATTCTCGCGGACGCCCTCGTGTGTTGTACGCGACCCTCGCAGACGGCTTGTGGGACGAAATCATGCTGGAGCCGAGTTCCGCAGGCGGACAAAGACCAACGTTGCATATGCGATCGGCGCGGGTCTCGTACACGATCAACTGCTCTGGCAGATGGTTCGAGCAGGCAGGACGAACTCACCGAGGCCAGGGACGCGCTCGAAGCATCCCATCCCGTCGCAACCCGTCCCGCCGGGGGAATAGGCCGGTTCGTGCGCTTGAAACCCAGTGCGGCTCGCCGCCTAGCGCACAACCAACGACCCGTGAGGGACGCGTGCGGCCGCGAACGTCCGTGGGTTGTGTAATTGCCGCGCGCACCCAGCGACGCTGTCGTCCGCCCCTCATGCGGTGGATGCCCTCCGATCAGCACGCAGGTCGCATCCACCGCTCGTCCGCATCCACCGCTCGTCCGACGGCGGCCTGGGATCGCACGGAGGTGGGGTGGGCCGCAAGCAGACGAGCCGGCACAGGGTTGCCTTGGCTCGGGGATGCGCGAGAGGCCCTTCAGTCGTACGGCATGCCCGACGCGGCCTGCTGCTGCCCAGTCCGATAGAGGGCAGGGGGCGGGCGATGGTGTCGTCTGTCATGCCAGGATTATCTCTGCGCACCGACGAAGATGCTTTCCTGTACGAACCACGACCGCCGCCGACGAAAGCGAAAGACGGGTCTTGCGGTGTGGCCATTGCCCCTCGAGCTCTGCCCGACATCGCCTCCCTCTCGCACCCGTCGTCCGGAACCCGAACAAGCAGGCTGCATTCCGTAAACCTGCTGTCCCCGCCGCTGGAGGGCTGACCGCTCTTGTTCCATCGAAGTCGACACAAGCGGCGGAGGATAGAGACGAGGTCGCCCGCGAGTCGCGGTCCTGGACCCACCCCACGTAATGTGATAAGCGCGCCCACCCTGGCGTGAACACAGTACACGGTACACGACACGACCCGCCGCTCCCATTGGCACGCCCCGTTGCGTATTTCAGGCCGGTCGTGTTCCGTGCGCTAAGCGTCATTGGCCCTGCACACTGCGGCGCGCCCGTGAGAGGTGTTGCGCGAGGCCCGGGTTCCTCGGGCGTGTGCTGGCGGGGGTGGCGTGCTGTGCGTCGTCGGCGCGGCCGCAGAAGGACGCAGTGCGGGACCATTCCAGGTCAATCTTCTGCGACGTACGCTCGGATGTGCGCACGCGAGAACGGTTGCTCGAGAGCGCAGCAACGTCGTCCCGAGCGGCGGCCGTGCGAAGTGGATCCAACGGGATGCACCCCGCCTCGTCCTGGCCCGTGCGTGAGTCTCGCGTATGTGTCAGCGGGCAGCGGATAACAGGGCGCACATACGGCCGTCATGTCTCTTCCCGAGCCTGCTCCCGCTGCTCCTGCTCCTCGTTATTCACGCCACCGTCGGCGCTGTCCTTGCGGGAGCGCGATTACGCTCCCGTCGCTATTGATTTGAACCGAGGACGGCGATGACGTCGGGGCTACCTCTGCTAGGGTGGTGAGTGGCCAGGACGTGCTATGCAGGCGATGCACTACTGACTATGACGTCTGCGGGTGTTGTCGTCATCGCGGCGCCGTCGCGTATCTGTACGCTATGCTACCGCTACGGTGCGGATGGGGTAGGTAAGTAGACCGGCAGGGATTGCGAGACGTCCCGCGCGCTCACCTTGTCCGACACATGCCTTGTCGTGGTAGCGCAAGAGTGTTCCCGGCGGGAGGGTGGGCGACGTCCGCAGTGTCGCTTCGTGCTGTGGGTCCGGCATAGATGTGGCAACGTAAATGTATAGTTAGTCTAGCGCGGGGGGCTGCTACAATGCTGAGACTATCGTCTATGAACTGCACTGTGTGCGTTAAGCGGGATGGTGCCGTGACGCGCGTCGAAATGGGGGTGTTGGCGTCGTCCGAGGTCATATCTAGCCCGAGCGGTGATCCGACGGCGCATCGAGACGAGGCGGGACCACGATGGGACGTCCGCGGCCGACGACATTGACCTTCTTGGATCGGATCGTGCCAAAACGAGCGACCATGCCATGTTCTTCTCGAGAGCTACGGTGGGTTGACGGACACATGAGAGGCGGCAGCGTACAATTAGCCCGAGACTAATTCCCGCCCGGTCATCGACAACGCGGAAGCAGATAACGACGTACCGCGCGAGCGCAACAACGGGGCACGTTTGTATGCACTGACAGCTTGCTCAGATCTTTGACAAAGTTGGACGTCGTGAAACATACGACGAGATACCTCTACGGGTGCCAGAAAGATTAAGTCTATGAGAACTCGCCGGTGAGCCCAGCGTCGTACTCCGTTTGCTCTCGACCGTGCTTCGAGCTTGACTGCCGGGGCGATTGGCACTAGTGGAGGCACAGACCAAACAGATTCAAGTAGGACCTGCGCATAGTGGCGTGCCTTGCCGATCACCGAAGGGGTTTTTAATGAGGAGGGGATAGTGAACGGGTGCTCGACGAGCCAGAGGAGAGAGCATGAGAGAGAGAATCAACACCAAGAGGGCACTGCTAGGGACCGGCGCTTGATACGAGTAGCGCTTCGTCCCCTCCACGTCAGTACCTACACGTGCTCCTCAACATTCAACCTTGTAACCTGCGGTATCCCATTCGGAAATGGCTGCCGCCGCCGCTCCCGACCTTCCGTACGTGCAACCCTAGCCAGGTTAATCGCGTTGGTCTTTTCCTCACTGGCTCCTGACATAGCGAGTTTAACGCGAATCGTGGCGGATCGGTGCAACTGGCCGGCGAGGCAGACTTCGGGCCCGCCGAATACCTAACTTGTAAGTGTTGTGATCTGGGTTGAACCGTCTGCCACACCTGAACACGCTGTAGGGTATATCGAGAGCCTGCTTGGGCGCATCGCTTATCTGCAAAGCGAGCTGGCTCGCCGCGAGGAGCGCGAGGAGAAGCTACAAGAGCTTATCCACGCGTCCGAAGTCGTCAACGAAGATTACAAGACGCTTTACCTGCGCGCACGCCGCCTCGCCCTGGAGGTCGCGAACGAGGCCGACGTTGCACGGCAGAGTTGTCTATGTCGGGGTGCCGCGCACGGGCTACTGGAGATATGATATCGAGCACTGTCTCTGCCTGCTATCCGGTCGCCTTGTGGAGAACTTTTCGTTGTAGAATCTATTAGAAACATGGTCGCTGGGAAGCGCGGGCAATGTATCTTGTGGTCGCTGGGAAGCGCGGGCAATGTATCTTGGGTGGGCCTTGGAGACACGGACCGTGTTCTTGGGGACTACCGGGGACATGCGTGGTCGCGGTGTCGCACGGCAGATATGTACATTGGAAGTGAGCACGCTACGTACAAACGCGCTGATCTGACGTATGCGCGCGGGGGCCTCGTAGAATTCAACTCGCGTACTTGAACCGACCTGCCGCAGCAATCAGCGAGTTCAAACCTTATTCGCGTTAGTACATAAACCTTGGATGAGGCGACAGCGCGATCTGCTGTCGCCTCGACCGCGCTCACTTGACCGATCGCCATATGTTACAACACCGCTATCATGTCTCGCAACACGTCTAACCTCACCCGAGATGAGTTCATGCACGTCTTCCTAGTCTGGAATGAGTTGAGGAAAAAGAAGTGCACCAGATGTGAAGATCTGGATCTGGTTTGCAACTACGCCAAGGGCAATAGCTTCAAATGTGACGCGTGTCTGAGGACTAAGTCAGGCAGGGTAAAATGTTCCTGGCTGGCGGGTAAGTCTTGAACCACAACCGCACGGCGGAAGCCTAACTCATAACATAACCTTCAGAACTTATAGAGAAGGTGGTCTTACTAGCCAATGGGGAAGAGCTCGCCCCGCGTGCCCCGAACAAGTGGTTGATTTGGATCCTAGAGGCCTTAGAGGCCTTGGGGGGCGCCAACCAATCTACCACGGCCACGGACGACCGACCCACTAACGAGAGCACCCCATCCGGCGTGTCGGTCGAGAGAGCGGCTCATAACGCAAGTCTGTCTAGTCAAATCGTCGACAACGGACGCGTTGCTACGGAGCTTGGCGACGACCGGGCTCATCGTAGTAGACGGTCCACTGAGCTCGTGGTAGACGGCGCCTTTGCCGAAGAACAGGGGGACGCCCACGCCGACAGTAATATCCGCAACCGAAGCGCCCCCACTCCGTCTGCGGACGATGACGGCGTTCGTGAAGAGCGAGAACACGGCGACATTGCCGAGGAACAGGGCTACCCATCCACGCACAGTCCTGCCCCGTCCTTCGCAATGCCCGACCGCGAGGGCTCTCCGAAGTACTTTAGGACTCCTTCAATGGAGTTGCCGGGCGACCTGGAGTATCCGACGCACAATGGGACTCCGTCCTTCTGGGTCCCCCGCTCTCCGGCGTACTTACGGAGTGAGTCTGCCGAAGCGCCCGACTACCACTTGAACCATCCGGCGCACGACGGAACATCGCACCTCGGAGTGCCCGCCTACGACGGCTCGGCGTCCCACATCGGGGCGCATGAGGACGACGACGGTATGGAAGGTGTGCTGGGTAACCGGGCGCATAGCGGCACTCCGTCCGTGGGGGAACTAGACGCTGGGGCTCGGGAAAAACGGGCCATCGCACGCGACAGCGAGCTTGGCTTCTCGGATGCCGAAGAACTGGTTACCTCTCACTCCGGTAATCATGAGGAGGAAGAATTGAAAAGTCGAGCACTGGAACTGCTGGGCGAGATCCAGGACAAGACCGAGGAGTACGTCGAGCTGAGCAATCTGGCTGAACTCTCGTCGCGACGCCTGCCGCACCTCATGGAAGAAGCAGCAAGCCCGAAGGAGGTGAGCGAGGTCGCTGCGTGCGCCGCTGGTTATTTAACCGCAGCCCGTTTGGCGAAGTCGGCCGCCTGGCTGGCGGAATGGGAACGCAAGAACACCCTGCAACGTCTGGAGCAGCTGAAGGTCTCGCGCAAGCGAACCGCAGTTCACGACGAAGCGCCCTCGCCGACGAAGGTTGCACGCAGGGGAGAGGTAGCCTCGGCATCGCCGTCCCAGAGCGGGCGGTCGAGAACCCAGCGTTCGTCGGCGTCACTCCCTTCCGCCCGCTCGTCGGCGTCACTCCCTTCCGCCCGCTCGTCGGCGTCACCACCCTCCGCCCGTTCGTCGACCTCATTCCCTTCCGCACGTTTGTCGGCTTCAGGCGCCGCTGCACGCTCGGCGGCATCAGTCGCATCTACGACGACACGCAACGTACGTCGCTCGTAGACACTTTACGGGAGTCGCATACGAACGAGACGGTCGGCCGACGAGGCGGGCACGGATGGTTCCAATGTACGATCTACCAAGCGGCAAGAGGAGGTATGTCCTTTTCAATACATCAGCGTTGCAGTGCGGTTGCATGTCGTATGCTGGGATATGGATACACGCGCTTGCCGAGGCACAAGCAAAGAAAAGGGCCACGAAAAATGGGGCAGGATCGCGAGGGTGCGTATGTCCGGAATTATGTCGTCGGTCGGCGCTAAGTGGCGAGGTCGAGGTTGCAAGGCAGAATGACGGAGGTATATAACATCCGAAACCCACGGAAGCCAATTAACGGCAGATCGGCCTCGCTATGTCCGGCACTGTAAGGCCGCTTTCATTACCGATAGCGACAGGCTTCAAAGGAAGTATAGCAGGGTATATCTGCAGCGGGAAAACAAGTTGGCTGTCCGGTTACCTGTAACACGTTGCCACGCAAAGACACGCAGCCACACTCTCGCGATGCGGACGACAGGCGGACGACCTCGGCAGCGCTGTCCGCGCATGACATGGGCGGGCTGGGGACAGACGGTGCGGCGCGCAGCTGGGACCGTCTTTGGAGGGGTTCATGTCAATTGGACCACTACGTAGCTACGTACATACAGGGGCTCGGTGCATTCTAGACAACGGGTGCTCCTATCGTGGTAAGGGAGGCGCATAGTACGAGCGGCGAGCACGAGAGACCCGTCGGAAGGATGCAAAGGCCCGGGCGGCAAGTGGGTGTCGGGCGCGGGGCAGGCGAGCGCGAGAGTCGTGTGGGGGTGGTCAAGTGGTGACCGGTGAGAGGGTAGGGCACGGCCTGCCGCGTGATGGGCGCGGAGCCGGGGCAATGCCGCGAATACTCTGCCTGACTCTACAGACTATAGGGACGCGTTCAGTGATGTAGCGCGCCCGGTACCCACCGCGCACTAGAGTGCGAGACAGCGGTGGGAGTGGGGATAAGGCGCGCGTACGCCTTCCGATGCATCGTGTCGGGGAGAGTACGCTGCGGTGTCGCGCGAACTTTTTGATCATTATATATATTTCAGTTTTATACTGGGCGGAATCGGGTCGTAGGATGGTGTTCGAGGTGCGGAGAGAGGCGGAGGCCGGAGCTGAGGGTCGGAGGCGTCGCACGCATAGAGGAAAGTTGCGTGGGTGCGGACCAGGTTGTTGCGGGCATCGGTGTCGGGGGCTTGGGCGCAGGCACCGGAAGCCAGTGCGTAGGCTGTGAAGGCGGGCGGTGCGGGTGGGGTCGCAGGGGTCGCGCACATGCATGCGCGCTGCGCGGGCGCAAATGCGGGCGCGGATGTGGTTTTCGCGGGCGTCCGTGTCGCAGGCGTTGGCCTTGCGGGATCGCCGAGCCCTGCATGGGGTGTAGGTTGTAGTCGTGTACCACAACAAAGATGAGTACGTACCGGTGAGGACCTTATCTGTAGCGGTGAGCAACGGGGGCCGCGCGATGGACATCCGTCATGCACGTACCAGTCTAGACGACCTATGCATGTTTGGACAAGGCACGTCCGGGATGATCACACAGACAACGGAGAGCCGTCCCTCCACGCTGCGATATTCCAGGTGTTCCCGCGTCCGTACGCACGGCGGCGAGAGCACCTACACACGACAGAAAATCGTATATGGCCTCCTAGCGCGCCGAGGTAGCCGCACGCTGTCTGTGCCCGCGTATTGGGCTCCTTGTGTCTCGCACGTTCCCCAGGCCAGGCGGCCGATTACGTGCGCCGCCTCGTGTGTGCCACCTTCTTGTAGCGGGAGCAGCAGGTGACGGGCCTGGGTGCCGGGCGAATTGGGAAAGAGACGACGTAGTGATGAGGGGTACGCGGCGCGGTAGTGGGTATGTTGGGGGTATGCGTCAGCGAGCTTACACACGCAAGTCGCAATAAGGGGAATGCACGATGAAACGTGGTCTGGAGAGTGCGATAGAAGGATACGTACCATGTCTGCGCTGCTCCCTGAGATGGCCCGGGCAGGAACAGGTGAGGCGCTGAGTTATGTCGCGATCGTCGCGGTGCTCATCTCGAAACACGTCGACGTCGTGCGCAACGCGTCCGGCTTTTGAAAGCACGGGCACATGTACCGGGCGCGGACCCTGTCTCGTCCGCGGTTGTGCTCGACGTGCAGAAGGTCGTCGCAGGCGAGAACCTGCACAAGAACGTGACAGAGGTCGTCGGTCTGTGGCTCGGCGCGCGCCTATGCGAGAAGCTCCTGGGTCCGAACGCGCTGGCGTCGCTATTCGTCTTCGGCATCCATGGCGGCGGCGCGCGGTATTGGCGGCGGCGCGCGGTATTGGCGGCGGCGCGCGGTATGGCACCGAGTGGGCCTCGACTTTGGCGGCGAGGGCTTCGGGCTGTGCAGGAGAATGGGGTAGGTGTTTGTATAAAACAGCTTCGGACTAGGCGGGTGCATCGGAAGTGAATTCCACAGCGTGTAGGGGCGAGAAGGAGTGCAATAACACGAGGGGCGGGAGAGTGCGGAGCGTCGAGAGTGAGTGAGTGAGTCGGGACGAGCGCTAGAAACAGACCAGGACAGGCGTTTGAGAGGCAGTGACTCATCGGCAGTGACATCAGCATCTCTCCGACTCTCACGGCCGCGAGATCTGCAGTGCGGCGGCGCCTCCTTCACTCGATGCCTCGTGTGATGCTGGCTGCTCGTTCGTCCTCCACCATCGATCACGACCTACGCTGCCTCCGCCCCCGCGACCCAGCCTGCCCGCCCGATCCCTGGAACAGATTCATTCATTTACGAGCACGATGAACCCGACCGGCGCGCCTATTCCTGCATGGTGAGTGTGGGGAATACGAGCTTGAGGCGTCCCTAACCGAGGCTCAGGTGGCTGCCGCTCGATCCCACCAACGTTGCGAGCCCGGTCATCAATAACGCCTCGGTGGAGAAGCTGATGCGCGACAGTGCAGGTACGTGCCCTTTGTATAAATTGTTCCTTCTGGCTCACACGACGCGGACACATAGATGCCGCGAAAGCTCTACAGACCCGCGTTCTCGACATCCACGAGACTATCAAGGCACAAAAGGAGGGGGGTCAGCCAATCGACCCGAGGACGGCGGAATGGTTCCTCCTCTGCCACCTGCTCCGGTTGCAGCTCGACCGGCAACGCCACAACTGCACGAAGCTCGTGGAGTACATATTGCGTCTCCATGCGACTCTAGCTGCTGGGGGTGCCCCGGTGGTTTTGGAGCCTTTGCCCGAGGAAATGGCCAGCTACGTGGGGTTAGTAGGAGTGAGGGCTCGACAACAGTAGGAGGCATTTCTCTGGATGTGCGCCCGGTTGGCCATTCTCCGCTACATTAGACTCGCCCCTCGTCGCATTCGCTGTATTCTGTCGGTTTTGGATGTATGTACTTGTCGCTCACGTTCTCGTTCCCCATTTATGTTATGGCATTGCTGTCTATTTCTGTAAGTAGTGCGGACACGTCTGCGTTCTCTCTTTGCGGAGGTACGGAAGCGGCGAAGCACAGACAAACGTCCAGGACGAGGTGGATCGGTTCGTCTTGTCATCGTAACGCGCGGACTTTGTCACTCGCCCGTCGCACTTTGAGCTGGCCCGCGCCCATGACACGCGGCGCGACAGTGCCTAGTATCGCCGCGTACCTGCCGCCGGCGATAAGGAACCACTGACAGTAAGTAGCAAACGTGGAAGGCGAGTGTTTCCAGGTGTTTCCGGAAGCGCGGTACTTATCAGAGCGGGGGGGCGCGTAGCGGGCCGCCTAAAAATGGACAGGCCCTAGCGAGGGTAGGCGGGCGGGCGCCACCATCCATGTGCGGGCGGGCGCAGCCGACGGTGAGGAGCGCCTGCAAACTTCCAGTGCGTTGAATGGGGCCCGGACGGGCGACGGGCAGAGCGGGAGGGCGCGTAGCGGGCCGCATGGGGCAGGCAGGACACAAAATGGACCGGCGTTAGCGAGGGAGGGCGGACGCCACCATCCATGTGCGGGCGGGCGGGCGGGCGCAGCCGACGGTGAGGCGCGCCTTCAAGCTTCAAACTTCAAGCTTCAAGAGCGACAAGTGCGTTGAGGGGCTCGCGGACGGTGATGGTGTACTGCCTGACGCGGTCGGGTCAGTGCCGACCGGACCGGGCTAAGTAGCGCTGGTGGCGGAAGTTGCAACTTCTTGCGCCCTATTTGGCGTAAGAGTTGCAACTTCTGCTGTACAGCCTACGCTTATAGAATTGTTCCCATCCGAAACGCTCTCATGCTCTTCCGCAGAAACGGCGTTTAGTCCCTCCGACTGCGCCACCGTGGACCACAGGCCACGCCGCCGCCGCCGCCACCCTTTCGGGATAGATGCAAGATTTTCCTCACCTGCAACACCCGGGTCGACTTCTTTCAATGCACAGATAACGGGAGCACCCTCACCGTCGCATACAGAGCGTTGAAATATAGCTGGAGCGGATCCCAGCAGTACATCATCAACATTTGGTGATGTAGATGATCATGATACTTACGGCGCGGAATCTAAGCACTCACAGGTCGGGACAACAGAGATACATGCGGTCAAAAGCGGTTCAACCGCGAAACCTGGATAATATGTTTGTACACTTCCAGCCATCCTATCTAGCAGGTCGGCTGCTGGCTTATAACGTTTAACCCATACGAGATACCCTTCAAACCGGCTTTAACAGACACGACGCGACCGAGAAGCACTGTGCATTTACTATCAGTAGGTGCTTGCATGTAAGCAGGAAAAGACCAATTGCGCACCGTGACCTAGATTGATAGTTGAGCCACTTAAGCGGACTGCTCGACGACCACGCAGTTGCCGAAGTCGCCGGCAGTGATGAACGAGACGAGGCACTTGTTGGCAGCGGCGCCGCCGGCGCACTGGATGCCTGCGGGGAGCTGAATGGAGAGCGGCTGGCTGGTGACGTCGGTCGGGTTCTAAACCAGAGCGGGGTTAGGGGAGGCTCCAAGATATTCTGTGGGCGCATCTCACAAATTCTCCGTTCACGAGCATGGTCGCGGCCTGGGCTTGGTCGAAGTTGCCGGTGGCCATGTTGTCGACAATCGCTTCGACGATCATACGCGAACCGTCGACATCGCTGTAATAGTACGTCTGGCTGTGAATACAACGAAGGAGCAGTGTGAATCTCGGTTATGCGTACCTGTTGAAGTTGGTGATGGTGAGGTTGACGATGCCATTGGGGTCGGCAATGGCCGCGGTCGAGGTGTCGAGGTTGTCGGGAATGCTCATGGTGCCGCACTCAGCAGTGGGGCCAGCAGGGCGCTGGACGTCCGCGCGGATAGCGTCCCTCCCGACGATGCCGAGGGCGGGGGTGATGATCGCGTGCGCGCTGGCCTGGAGAACGAGGCCGAGGCAGAGCACGACGGAGGAGATGAGGCTCTTGGAGAACATGGCTGCTGGTAGAGACGAGTGCGGAGGTGAGGAGAGTAGGTGTGGTGAGTGGATGGGGGTCACCGCTCTACGCTGCCCTCTATTTAACGACGCCCACCAGCAGAGCTAGCCGGCTCGCCGATTCGGATGCTGAGCCTATTGCGGACGTCCTCCGTCAAAAGAAAAATGGCCTATCGGTGCTATGCGAAGTGGAATACAACGTACGGGTTCCGCACGGATGGCCACGGCGTATTGCTGGTTCAGGGTCCTACGAACAGAGCCATGGGTAAAACCTCACGACCTCACCGTGATCGGCGACTCTGCAAAAGGAAGTGGTCAGTTGGGCCTCTTTGCTCCTACAAACAACCACATATGCCGGATATACTCACTCAAGGAACGATCGAGAAGCAGCAGAGACAAACACTCACGAGCGCGGGACCTGTCTGCTTGTGGGCGTCGGGGAGAGTTTTTACCCGTCCCTGTACCGTTGCTATCGCCGACTGCTCATGTCGCTTAAATGTAATTTGTCTGTCAGAGAGCTCTACGACGAATGCGAGGGGTATCTGAGGCGGCTGTACTGAGACTCGAGCCCATGTTGATGAAAAGCCATCCATAGTGAGGGGGGACCGCACCCACATGCCGCGAGCATTGCGCAGTTTCAAGTCATTCCAAACATATCGTGCCAATGCCATTGCGCTGGGCTTGCGTGTGCGACCGAGGGCAGAGCATCCACAGCGACCTGCGTATACCTGCGAGGTCGTCCACGCCGCTAAGTGACAGTCTCTCGGAAGTCTCCCGGAACGGGTATGAAGGAATGTTCGAAGCAGCCTCGGGTGGTACGGCGTAGACCGTAATAGCAGGACACCGGCCTTTTGGATCGGCTGGGTAATATGACCTCCGCGGCGGGCAGCACGCCACCACTGACACAGCGAGGCTGGTACCGCCGTGTTATGTCCTGTGAGAGAAAGAAGCTGAGGAGTATTTGCGCACCGCTCACGCCCGAGTGGTTGACACAGACTCAATGGGCGCGACAGTCATGCTGTGGTTGAGTGAGGGCTCTGCACGTGACTATAGACCTAAATAGCGACGCAACTCTGGCTGGAGAGTTGTGTACCTTCGCCGTAATTAGCTCAGGACGCACTAATAACAGAAAGAAGGCTTGCGCACATGAATTTGGCCCGAGACACCCGGGCCCATGGTGAACGCGTCGTGAGCCCTTTGATGCCGGTCTAAAGCCCGACGGTGTCAGTTCAAACATCAATAGAAGAGGTATGCGTTTCTATAACACTGTGTACCAGGAGTCGTTGACAAAGCTCTGGATACAATATCGTGACTGAGATGCCTGTATACAGGGCACCGTGACGACAGTACCTGGGACCTAGAACCGCAGATGAAGCGGGGAAGCAGGGGCTCCCCGAAGGAATGTTCCTTACCAAGCACGCTTTGCGCAATCTAAAGCCATCCTTAAGTCACGAGCTCCGCACCAGGCAGCTCTTGAGCACTTCGGCCGAGCCTGATATCTCCTCGTTCGGCTGAAGAACCACTCCGGGCACGACGGCGACTGCATCGTCCAGACGAGAAGCTGAAGATTCGTTGGTGGTAGGCTCACATGCGCCGCTTTTCTTGAGCATTCCGTTTCCAATCCGTGTGCTTGAACTTGAAGCTTCTGCAACACCTTCGGGAGAGTGTGCTTAGTACTGTCGCACGTGACCGCTGCTGTTGAATGGGTGCCAGAGCGTCGGCGACCCCAGTGAACTGTTCATGAGCAAGTAGGATTGCGGTGGACCAAGAATACAGTGCATGATGCAACACCAGAGGAAGCGGTACTGTCGAGAACGTTCGGCGTCAGCTCCGTGCGTGATACGCTGACTGGCTGCCATGAGAGTGGCATGAACGAACCTAGGGCGGGATGATCACAGCGCGTCCCGTGCTACGCGCAAAGGGCTGATGCAGCATCCGTGTGCACGTTGACGGGAACCCATTGTACAGCTGACACAGGATGAGTGGCTATGGAGAAACATCTCCTCAGCGACTTCCAAGATCATTGGAGGGTGCTGCGAATACGTACCTTGTTGGCCCGTGTCCTGGCGGTACGCTACCATGCTCCACTTCTCCACATGCATCCTCTCGACACGGCGCTTGCTCAGTCGGAACCGGATACGCGTGTCGTATTGTACCAGTTCTTGCGCTGTCAGGACGAAGAACGTGCCTGGAGGCGGGCTCGCGGTGCCCTCGAAAATTCTACGCATTCCACCGATGAGTGTACCGGGCACATCTACGGAGGGCTTGTAGAAGAGAAGTCGGGTCACCGGCTCGTACGGAGACTGAGAGCCATAGCCCATGAATGTCGAGAACGGCAAGGTAGCGGTGACCTTCGCCTCCCACACCAGGATGTCCTCCGGCTCGCACGAGAACCCCGCCGGCAGCGCGCTCGTGATCGCAACTGGGAACGGGATCGCGTAGTACGCGGTCGCGACGATATTTTCGAACTCGACGAGCCATGGGTCCGTCCGGACGCGCCGCGAGGGGACGCGTCGACGTATGTCTTCCAGAGGAATAGGCCACGCCTCACCGTAAGGCGCGATGTCCGACACCATGCTCCCACTGAGCACGCGCCCGAGGAAGTCGGAAAGCCAGTGCGCAGGGTAGCCGACACGGTTGAGGTGCATGAGCAGACCGAAGAAGGCGACGAGGTTGTTCGGGAGGCGCACGTTCTGCGGGGGCATGCAGGTGCGGCCCGGGATGAGGGTGTTGAAAAGGACTCGGGTGAGCCACGTCGTGAGCTCATCGCGGGAGGCAAGGTCCGACAGAGGACGCGGCAGAGGCAGCGGCCCGAGAACGAGGACGTCCATGACGGCTTGCGAACGGATGACCCTGCAGCCAAGATAGCGAGGCACATCCTGGGGGAGCAACTGCGTATACCTGTAAGCGATAGTCAATCAGCGCTCACTCACGGTGGACAGGTGGACGCAAATTACGTGTAGAAGTAGTCGTCGCCGTTCCTCCAGGCACCTGTGTTCAACAGACAGTTGCACGAAGCACCTGCTCGTTGGTCATCTTGAAGGCTTGGAACAACGTATTGGGCAATGTTCATCGGGCCATGAGTGTAGTCGCTGGAAAAGTAAGTTGTAGGATATTCAAAGCTGAGTAGGCAGAGAGCACTTACGGTACGTTACTCAACCACATTCTTGTGTACTTCGTTGGAAAGTTCGCGGGACGAGTACCATCGCCTCCCAGCCGCATCTTGGCAAGCTCCTCGGACAGGCCCCCTGCGATGAGTTCTACAGTAATGTGGCCCTTGAGACCCTTCAGTGCGTTCACGATCTCGTCAAAGAACGTGCTGAATATGTCCCAAGCGGTCGTGTCAGCATTATTCTTCGCAGGGCCTTGTGGACCTTCTTTGTTCCTCTGATTAAAGTCTTCCACGCAGCCGACAGGCTCGAAGACGTCGCCGGACATCGTGTCGTAACCGTCACCCCCGGGATGGTACTTAGGGTTATCACAGTTAGAGTCCTACGTAGAGAACGTTACGCCTACAAGCCTGATGGGATTACTTTGAGGACTCACGAAAAGCGTAATGTTGGTACGCCACTCATTCTCTATTTGAGAATTGATCTGAGTGAACGCAACGTCAGTTGACTATAGCAAGTATGACGTAAGGGAGTAACCCACCTTGCCAGCCGCGGCCTGTTCTACATCGTCGCACTGCGTCGTCGTCGTCCATGCCTGCTCGAAGCCTGGATGGCGGCCCCGCAACTCAGCGGGGGGAACAAACGTCTTCGTGAGCTTGTACCACTCTTGCTCGTGGGTCGGCACCTTCCCGGTGGAACACATTTGTTGCATCCTGTTCACGAGCATCTCCATATTCGACTCGACGAAAGCGCGTCCTTCGCTGACGGAGGTGCCCTCGGGCATCCACTTCAGCGAGAGTAGTCGGGTGTCGGAGAGCCCCCGGAGCATGGCCTCGATCTGTCTGCGTTCCTCCATGAGGCTGTCCCGCAGCTGGCGTCGAAAGTCGCCGCCGTCGCCGCCACTGCTCAGCGTCTGCGCGCGTCGACTCCACTGGGTCTCGGGTTCTTGGTACGTGTGGTGCGCGAGCGTCTTCCTCGTGGTTTTCTGTGCCGTTGTCCAGTATTGGAGGGCATGGAGCACCTCTGGAACCGTGTTGGCATCGACGTGCAGCCATGCGGGGAGCGCTGGCGGTGACTTCGACAGCTCGTGAGTTAAATCCCTCACTACGGACATCAAACTGCCGCATATAGTCCATCAACGGTTGCTCATGGCATGAGCAAGTATCCACGTACCGATCATAGCAGTACCCAGGCATGACTGCGGCACAAAACGAGTACATGAGCGTGGCCTTGATCTCCGTACGTACGAGAGGCTCTGACGTGGTGCTCAGTTCGTGCAGGAGTGTCAACATACACAAGTCTCGAGCGATCGCGGCGGGGTGGATGTCCAGGAGAGACAGGTGGGTATGGAAGACAGACTGCTTCTGTGCGGGGAGTTGCTCGTAAGCGTTGTACAGACCTGCGATTGTGCCGAGGGCGTGCCGTCCTTGTATGCGTGTGGTTGAGTAGAGTTTCATCGACGGGGTACGAGAAGCACTCACCATCTCCGACGCCTCCGAACAGGAAGGAGACATGGGGAAGCCCCTCAAGAGGAAGCGTATCGAGCTTCAGGGAGTCACCTCCATGTCGGGAACCCCACCCAGCAGTGAGGTCGATGATTGCGTCGTGCCCAATCTACAACGATGAACTTCGTAAGCTTGGTTGCTGTACGGTAAAACCTCTTGAACGTACAGTGTAGTATTCCTTCGCATCGTCACTTTTGGTCTTTAGCTCGGAATGTTGAGAGACCATCGACGTTGAGAACTCACAGTGGTTTCATGAACAGCGGTAGTCGCGAAAACGCTGCAAGACACGGGCCACCTCTCTGCACGAGGGCGTCGACGTCGGACTCTACGGTCTCCCAGTCTTTCCAAGCACGGCGCAGCTCTTCATCGGCAGGTGAAGGAGACACACCGGAGGTAATTGACAAGGACAGCTCTTTGAGTTGTTCGATGTCAGCAGCATGAAGTTCAAGCGCATGTCGCGAACTCGGGCTGGATCTTGTAGAGAAGCAGAGTGCCTTGGCCAGTCTACTAGAGAGCCTTACGACAAGGCCACGTCGTGCGTCGTGCTGGCCGTTTGGAAGTTTCCAGGAGCGCAGAATAGCGGATATGCAGCCCGAGTAGTCTCCGGCCTCGTACAAAGCCGCGCTCAGGTTTGAGGGGTAAACCGGGTCGTTGGGCTCTTCCTTTTCAGCCTGGATCCAGCACACGTAAGTTGCATAATGCAGATTTTGAGACACATGAATATCACCTTGGCATATAGCTCGGACGCTCTGAATGTGAAACATGTCAGAAAATCCATCAAGAACTCACCGTCGCGAGCAATGGCCACCGCTGACTCAACGCATTCTTCGAGGCTACACACCTGATAAAGTGACCGGCTTTGAACTGATCATTCCCTTGTTGCTTGTATCCAGCAGCTCGCGACATGCTTGAGCTAGAGTGATAAGGCAGTGGCTCAGTTTCAGTGGCTCAGCGTCGTGGTCCAGGTCAAGAGAAGGTCAAGCCTTACTCCAGGCTCGCATGCGGCTAAGCCGGGAACCTGGTCCTTACGCTCCCGCTCGAATAGACGCTAGACGCGGATCGTTCGCGGATTTTGCTGTTTCGACTTCTTGCACTCCACTAAATCCTACATACGGTGTATGGCTACGTCGAGACAAGCCATGTTGGACATGTGATGGATTTATCAAGTACGAATGCGATAGATGGTGAATGGATCAAGGCGATCAGGAAGCCGTGTCCTAGGAAATAAACATGGTTAGTAACTAGACTCATCCGACCTCTGCGGCGGCGAAGGCGTTGCACACCTGCTCATGCGTCCATCCGCCACAGCAGCACGTCGGGAGGCCCTCGACCCGCCCGCAGCAGAACTTCTGCCGCTTCCCCTCGTGGACGTTCTCCCGGAGCTGGTCCCACGGGTGCGTGCGCGCGGGCGTCGCGCGCGCGTGCTCCTTGTCGATGCCGAAGTGCTTCCAGAACGGGAGCGCGCCCGCCAGAGGGCTGGGCGCGAACTTAACCATGAGCACGTATGCGCCCGTGCCCCAGTAGTCGTCGCCAAACTCCTTCTTGCCCATCTCGACGGCGGCGGCGCGGTCGGTCATGAGGATCTTGAAGGTCGGCGGCTGTGCGGGGTCGTTCCTGTCCTCCAGGTGCATGCCTCGGACCTCGAACTGGTCCTGAGGGCGGCGAGTCGGGTCGTTTCTGTACAGGAGAGAGATGAGGAGGAAATGCGACGTGGCAACAGTGGGAATCTCCGGCATCGCTCTGAGGTAGCAGGCGAGGGTACAGTTGATGAGAGTCGCGTGGTGGTACTCGATGAACGTCGCGAGGTGCGACCACGCATTCGGGTTGCCGGAGATGCTCGCCGCACGCTCCTTGTGGACCGAGAACATTTTGCAGACTTGCTTGTGGCCATCGCGCCAGTGGGCCTTTTGGCATTCTTTAGACTGGAGGCGTCGTCCGTAAGAATGCGTGTCTGGAGGCGGATTCCCAAGCGATAACTCACGCAATACGTCGACAGATAGCATCCTGTACAGCGCAGCATCTTTGTGTCCCTGCCTTCGCATCGGCGCATATGATAGCAATTTTTGCAGTGGGCGTGGGTGTGTAGAGGATCGGCGGAGTGAAACAAGCCCAAGTCGCAGTGGGCATTTTCAGATGTCGCGTTCATGACGTATAGAGGTCTGAGTTGTTGAATGGGCTGATACTGAACGCAAACGCGGGCACGACGAAGGCGTTGCGACTGCAGCAAGGGTTTGGTCCAACATGGTCCACGTTGCGGTATGTAACGTTATAGTGCTGCGCTCGCGGCTCGGCAAAGCAGAATACGCCGCCCGAAGAGTGCCGACGGCCCGTCCGGACATGCCCGTTTTGGGTATTTGCCGCCATCCCGCCACCCCGCGCCGCCCGACGCTGACCATGCCAGTCTTGTTTCTCTCTGGCACGATATCTTCAGCTTCAACCCATAGATGCGCTTCTCGAGCTCTCATACTTGCCTTCCTGATCACGCTCTAGTCTAGGGGGTTGACTCCTGCAAAAACATCAAGTTCGCCAATTGGTGACACGTTAGCGTCCCGGGATGCCAATGTGTCCGCCGATTTAAGTGTTTAATACCTCTGGCTGGCTCTCCTAGGCTTCTAGTATTGGTATTGGATCTATCTCTATCTGGACGTTACCTTTGAATCCGCCTTACATTACGGAACCATCCAGAGCCCAGACTATGCTGATGCCCTGAAGTCAATTGTGTGCCACTATGCTGCTTGTGCTTGCTTGTGCTGACACACACCACGTTCTCCACGCTAGGCCCTCTGACCGCGAAAGGCATGTCGTGTACATGGGGCTGGACTGCATGTGGTACATATGTCCAGTCTTCGTGGGAAGCTAGTTATGCGACCCGTGTGCCGTCTTCTCCGATCGATATCGCTTTGCATAAAGCACGCATATCCGGAGCTCCCTCCCTTGGATTTACTAATGGTATGTGCTCAAACTTCATTATAAATTCGTTGCTCACAGTCTTCAGATTGTGATATCTGTCATGCGATTGATTGACACGGAAACCGGCCAATTCCATGTCGTTTCAAACGAATTCCAGGTGCCGTATGCTATCCTAAGCCATACATGGGATCCGCAAGGCGAACAGACATTCCAAGATGTGTGTGAGATACAGACATCTGCTTGGAAGGGCGGAGCTAAGAATACGGTTCTCTTCTGGCTCAAGTGAGTCACTCATAGCGAATGCCTCTTGTCGGTAACCCGAGCGTATACAGGTATTTCCTGCAAGTGGCGATAGCAAGATTGACTGCCACGAACAAGGCCGATCAGTCCAAACTAGACAAGTTCAGGACAATGCTTGTCTGCCGTATCATTGCATGGGCAAAGCGGCTCTTCGCCCTCGCCAACAAGCTACAGTCAGACGAGCTACCTCCCCAGTCTATCTTCTCCGACCCAAGGCTTGCCGAGAAGATTCGTCGATCTTGCGCTGTCGCGCGTGAGGCTGGTTACAAGTGGTTGTGGATCGACTCGTGCTGCATCGACAAGACGAGCAGCTCCGAGCTCTCGGAGGCGATCAAATCCATGTACGTCTGGTACAAGCACTCCGCCGTCTGCTTCGCGTTTCTCCCCGACGTCAGCGGAGAGGACGAACTCGCCGCGGAGAAATCCGAATTCCGTCGCAGTAGATGGTTCACGCGCGGATGGACCCTGCAAGAACTCATCGCCCCGGGATCAACCCCGGGGTCTTTTGCTGCACCGGACCAGCACAGTCAAAGATCGAATTCGACCCAAGAAACATAGCGGCACTTTCGCCTTACCTTTTTCTGCACGGCGAATGGACGCTATCGCTTACGCACAAGGAGCTCAGTAGACGTTTGGGTATCAAGGTGCCTACCCCCACACGCACTCCATTCCGCGGCGGGATGCGTACTTGCTTCCCGTTGATACCCGTTGATGCCCAACTGCTCAATGGCATGCCTTACCCCGGGGATACAGGAGGCCGAGCATAGTACCTCGCAGTGCTCGCATGCGCATGCGAGGTCGTGGACAGTCTAATCGACGGCTGCGTCCTTGCTTTCGTGTGCTCCCTCCCGGAGCTGTCCTCCCAGCAGACCCCCACTCCTCAGGCGACAGGCAAGGGCGTTACCGACAGCAACGATCCAGGCGTCCCCCGTCTGTCTGGCGGAATCCAGTCTCTCAATGCCCACCCCGATAGCCCTATGCAGGAGGGCAGCGCGTTTCGAGTGGTGGTGCTCACCCCTGACGATATCGCGGAGCGCCGAGCCAGCATCCGTCTCGTGGAGGTGGACATATCTATGCGGCCGTCGTATATGCCAGGCGTGGCCGCGAGCCCCCAGTCAGAGGAGGGCGCCGCCGCTCTTACTAGTAACCTGGACTCGGACGACGTGCATCCGATTCCCGTCGACTACCCCGCTCGCGACGCGCCGGTCAACGTCGAGATCGCACCGTGGTGCGAGACAGCCTTACGCGTCCAAGGCTTCACCATATCCCAGATGCCCTCCCTCGACCCGGCCACACCGCCGCAGCGCGAGTTCGTGCTCAAGAACGTGCAGGACGGCGCAGAGCTCGCGCTGCAATACCAGCCGCTCAAGCGCACAGACCCAGCGCACGGGGCGGCGATCGAAGTGCGCCTCCACGAGGTCGTGCAGACGTTCCCCATCGGGATCTCGACACTGGAGCCCCTGAGGTATTGGGCACCCTGGAGAACAGTGAGCGAGGCCTCGCCGCTCACGGCGCCCGGGTACGACGATGGCGGACGGATGCGCGTCGTGCGTTTCACGCTGGCGCACCACGAGGCGGGCACTTACATGCTCGGCGTGGAGACTATGGAGTGGAACGGGGGTCCCGATCCTGCGACCATGTTTCGGGTCGATACGAGGTTGTAGTCCTTGGCTGGTGGAGTCACATTGGTGTATGTGCAAGGTGATAATAGGATTATGTATGCTGATGGATATACAGGTGGCGTATTGGTGGTCTTGCTTAGTAGGAGGCAAAGTAAGCAAATAAGGTAACGAGCGGATGTGCGATGAGGTTGTTGAGATGTCGATGTATATGCATGGGAAGGTGAATGCGGCGGATCCTATTATACAAGGTGTGCACTTGATACAAAGCGGGGGCGGAGCAAATAGGCAGAGCATGATGCGATGCGTGGTGATAGCGATGTATCCGCGAAGAACAAGAGCGGCGGGGATGCGTGCCGCGGCAAGAATTAGGCATCCTGGATATCGATCCGGACAAAGAGCGTTGAGAAAAGGTATTGGGAGAGCTGCCCGTCATGAAGGGGAAGATGCCGGTATCCTGCAATGGTGTTAGCGAAAATTTAGCGTGGTTACACACAAATAACGCACCAAGGTTCAAGCTGCCCAGACTGGCACAATAAACGGCAAGCGGCTCGTCGTCCTCCTTGTTCTCCTGCTTCACAGAGAACCGGACGAACACAAGGTCCTTCATGTCGCCAACGAGATCGAAGGGCAGGCAGATCTGCTGCTCCCACACTGGGTTGAACCCGTTGTTCTTCACGACGCCGGTCCGGCACGTCACCGTGCGCGCAGACGTCGCCTCCACGATGTTACCTGCGGTCGGCGGAGAGTACGCGTCGGCAGTCTTCTCTGGGAGGAATGGCGAGTGCGTCCAGTCGGGTATATGGATGGACACCTCGACGAACGGGTCAACGATGGACTTGTCGATGATCTCGCGTCCCTGCGAGTCCTTCGGCCTGGGCAGCTGCTGCGCGGAGATGATAGTGATGTTGAGCAAGTGCTTCGTCCGCCGCGCGAGCAGCTGCTTGTCGGAGCTGCGCAGCGCGAGCGGCTTCAGCACGTATCCAGCACGACCGTTGCGCTGGAACATCGCGTGGTTGATCATGTATCCGAGGTCTGTGCCAACAGCCGTAAGACTCCAACACCAACCTGATGCAATATCGACATACCAAACGTCTGCCAGTTGATGGCGACCAGCTGACAGCCCGCAGACCAATATCGGTGCGGCTCGTAGTTCGTCGACCCGATGCGCGTGCCCTTGGGATACGTCCGGACGAGATGCGTGCGGTTGTGCTTGATGAGGTCCATCATGCCCTGCTTCAGGAGCTTGTTCGCCGTGTTTTCCGACAGCGAGAAGATGTGCTCCGGCGCGTACTCCTCCTTTTTGTTGATCCCGCGGCACTTGACGCCAACGGTGTACACGAGCAGCGAGACGAGCTCCATCGACATCTTCACCTTCGGCTTCGCGGGCTGTCCGGAAGGCGGAGGCGACTGCGGCACGCTCTGCGAGGCGACCTTCTGCGCGCCCGGCGAGCGCACGCGGTTGAGTGCCCCGCGCGCTTTCTTGAACTCCGACTTTAGGTCTGCAACGCGCTCAATAGTCTGCTCTGCCATTGAGGAACGCACGCGAAATGCTCACCTCGGATCAGTTCTGCCTCGTTCTGGCGCGCCTTGCGCCACTCTTGCTTCAGCTCCGCGGCGACATCGGAGTCTGACGCAGACGTGTCCGTCGATGTGGACGACTCCGTCTCGACGCCGACCTCCTTCTCGGACACCGCCTGCCCTTCCACGACGTACAGGTTCTTCGCCTTCAGCAGCACACGGCCCTTGAGGTCCTCTGGGCTCGGCAGGGCATCGATCTTCGGCCGGCCGTCGACGGGCGCCCATACGAGCGCGTCCCCGAACACCTCCTTCATGATCTCGACAAGCTGCTCTTGTTGTGGGACAGAGCAGTGGATCTCGGCAGAGATCACGATGGGGTAGGGCGACGCCACGAACGCGTACTTCGCGATTGCCGCGCAGGCGTCGCGCACGGAGACCTTGGACGTGAGCGTCCGCCCGTGGTATACGGTCGGTTCGGTGTCTCCGTCGTAGATGTCGACTGTTCGTGGTCAGCGAAGCGCTGGGTTGACAGACAAGACAGCACTTACGCTCGACGCTCCGGCACGAATGGAGCAGCGCCCGGATGTAGCCCTCAATCGTGCTCTCCCCAACCAGCTGGTGCCCGACCAGGTACGTGTTGTGTGACGACGAGATGAAGTACTCCGGCAGCGGACGTGACATGTCGTGATATGTGCGCCCATGCTGGTCCGCGAAGACGGAGTTGTCCGCAGACAGCAGGAACGCCGTGAAGCCGCTCAGCTTCATGAGCGCATCGTCCACCGATGGGACGGAGGTGCTCGATGCAGTCGTGGCCGTACCGGGCGGTGATTCAGCAGACGGTAGAGACGACTGCGGCCCGGCCTCCTTGGCGATCGAGATAGACTGCATAGCCAAGTCGAGAGAGGTCTGCGGCGGAGAACCTGGTGCCTTGCCGTTGGGGCAGAAGGCATAGCGCAGGAAGATGTGCTCGAGCTCGACGCGGCTGAGTGAAGACTGAAGAGAGTGTGTCAGAACGCCGCCCCTGGCCTCCATGAAACACACTTCGTACCTTCTGCGACGTCTGCATAAACTGCTCGAACGCGGCAAAGGTCATCCCCTCCGCGCCGTTCACGTGCTTCTTATACAACCTGTCAATCTCGGGGCGCGCCTTCAGGTGCTTCACGAAACGCTTGAAGTCGCCAAAGTCGAGATAACCTCGATTCTGGCTGTCCGCTTGCTGCTTCGATCGTTAGTCCACTCCCAGCAAGGACGGCGGTAGACTCACCTTGAATCGTCGCTGAAGATCTTCGCGCGAAGGATTGATGTTCAGCCGCCTGCACAATCGCTCGACGTCATCAAAGTCGAGCCGTTGGTCCTGCTCGTCGTCCGCGCCCTTCCAAAACTGCTTCTCCCAGACCGCCTGCCGCATATCCGCACTGACAAGTCCGCTCATAAGCTGCTGGCGGATCGAGTACAGCCTGCGTAGAGTGACGTCCCAGAGCTGGAAGATGTCGCGCGTCGCCGAGATCAGGTGCAGAGTCTTGTACCCGCCGTCGAGCACATAGACGATCGTGAGCCATCGGTCTTCGTATTCCTGCGCAAGCTGGAACTGTTCGCGGTAGTATCGTGCGTCTGCGCCCTCGCGCAGCTCCTTGATGTTCTCGATCGGGACTACATGCGGTGGTCGGTGAGAACTGGCGGATCGACGATGGGAACAGACGACTCACTAAACCGCAGCTTCTTCGACTGCCAGATGATTTGCCCCTGGTCCGCGTCAAGTCTGAAGAGATATCGTTTCTGCTTCTTCGCAGACACCTTGATCATTGGGACGCCCACTTGGAGAAGGGGCGGAACCGTCGCATCGGTGGTCGATGAGGACTGTGCTACAGGTGCAACGGACACGCTTGATGGGGGAAGCTGCTCGACTATAGACGATTCGGGTAGCGAGGTCATTCTGGTGAGAGGGGTGGGTGGTGGGGAAAGGAAAGGGGAGTCTGCGCCCGGCGAGGTAATACGGTCGTGACGCACGCGCGGTCGCGTGGAGAGCGACTCGCTTTGGGCGCGGCGGTGGCTCTGCCTTCTTTTCACCCACACCACGGGCGAGAGCGTGAAAGACGCGTTTGGGGGCGAGAGGTACTGTGAAGAGGTGTCTGATAACAGCTCCGGGAGGGGTTCCGAGGCAGACTCGACGAGGGGCGGCGGAGGGGGCACGGCAGGGTTGCGCCGCTTGAAGCTCGCCCTGCGTGCAACGTTCGTACCTGCGTCCCGTACCTGGTGTAATTTCCGCTTGATAGACCCCCCAAGCCCTCCTCCGTCTGTCCTCCGTCGTTGCAGCGGCTCATGATCGAGGGTGGGGTCGGACGCGAGGATGGTGTCCGCTATCGCCGGCACAGGCTCGCCCTTGGTCGTAAGGAGACCCGCTGCGCGGTGCAGCCCGCGCGACACTGGCGGATGTTCGGACGTCATGTCGAGCGATAGCGTCTAGGGCTGGCGAGGGCGAATCATAAACCGATAAAAGACGGCAGGAGAGTGACGGTGTTCTAATAGTCGCTAGGAATTACGATAGTTTCCATCAAGTCACCTCCGGGTCCGGACGACCTGAATTCACGGCCGAGGCTATTCAGGTGCGCATGTTGTAAGCGGCAGGCGGCGCAGACAAGAGGTAGGGGCGGTGGAGACAATGTGAGAGCGGTGTGGACTAGATGATGGGCGGAGGAAGCGAGGCGCGACTGCGACGTCGCGGTCGGTGCTCGTAAAGGCTTGCATCCCGCCCTGATCCTCCAACTGGACACAACGAGCATAGGTCATATCCGACACGGACGACCACAAGACCGCAAAGTTCGCGCCCAATGCTGCGTGGTGGCCGAGAAGACGTCCGGGGGTTGTTTTGTTGCGCGACGGCAGGTCGGGGCAGCGCAGTCTCACATGCCATGATGCACACGTTCACCAGCGTTCGCCTCGCAGGCTCACGCCAAGCCCCGATGCTACCGGAGCACGATGTAGGACATTGCCGAGTAGTTGACAAGCTCCTAATGTCCATAGATTGTATTTGACTTCTATCATCAGACTACTCGCACACCGACAAAACATACTCAACAAGAGACGCCCTGGAAAGAAAGAGGACGCCCGCCAGCATCTACTACACGTTCTGTACATTAGCAATCCCGCGGAAAAACAAGGAACATAAATAAGGGCCGCAGCGGGGTCACTAGCACTTGATGAAGTTGCCCACGATGAGCGTCGGGATGCCGTAGGGATCCCGGCGGATGGTGAACGAGAAGCAGCAGCTGATGAACCCCTCCTCGTCCGGCGGCGGATGCGTGTCCCTGCCCCGTGCTGGGGTGACCGCGCCAGACGCCGGCAGGAGGGGTTTGAACCGGAGCACGCACGACGTGAGCACCGCCTTCTGGTTCGAGTCGAACGCGACATTGCCGTATTTCTGCGCACAGGTGGACTCATCAGGGATGGTTACGGGCACGTCGCAATGGGGTGGACCGACCTCCCAGTAGTTGACTGCGGCGTCTTCCGCCATGAGCTCATAAATGCACAGGCGTCCCTGCCCGCGATCATGCTCTCAGCGCTCGGCAGGACTGCAAAGTGCGATAAACACGTACGTCTCGGAGCATATAGCCGTCCACGCCAACGAGTTCCGCAAACTCGCGGTTCGCCTTGTAGATTTCGCCGGTGCGGCGCCATAAACACGCTGGAATGGCCATGGCGGAGAACACCCGGTCATAGTCCAGCAGAAGGCGCTCGAACGCCTCTTCTATGAAGACGAGGTCCTACAAAATGTCAGCACCTCAGCCGCAGCTGGTCACCATGCGCGGTGCGTACGATGTCAGTGAGTGATTCCGACTGGGCGATAGCCTGGCGCGCACGGTTAGATGCGCCCACAATAATCAATCAAGCGCTCACTCTGAACTTCGGTCGGAGGACAGACAGGGGCTGCAGGATTTTCTGCTTCGACTCCTGCGAAACGCTGTCACGACATATGTGTAAGCGCGCTATAGACCGATCGCATACAGGGAGACTTACTTTCTGTCCATCCAGCGCGATAATCGGGCATAACCCTTGACGTAGTTATATGGCTTTAAGAGGCCGGCCTCGTACTTGCTCCGAATGACCATGTTCAGCCGCTCGTTACGCGAACCCGAGGCTTGGTCTGCGGCGGTCAGGAAAAATCGCTCGGTTTTTGAGGGGGCGGGAAGCACGACCGGCGCGGGCTCATCTGCCGGCTTCTCCCCCTCTTGAGCCGCCGGCGCAGGGTTGGTATTTGAAGGTGTGGGTGGTGGGAGTGAGGGAGGCTGGGTTATGTATGGGTTGTCGACGCCTAGGGAGACAGTATTGGCGTATGTTGGACTTGACATTAAGGACGGTGCGACGGCAGGAGGTTGGCTGAAGAAGGAGCCGTCGTCTAATGACTCCAGGAAGTCCCTGCCAACGTAGAGAAGACATCAATATGATCCCGAGGACGTAGGCAACCCAGCTATAGCCGAGTATGCGGAACCACGCAAGTATGCAGCGCGTTCGTGCGGGGCCACTAACGACGGCACATATACTGGGACTCGGGGATGCACAGCCAACCTGTGCGAGCAGGTTGAATGTACATCCTCGCAAAGGCAGCCCACCTCACTCAACATCGTTGATTTTCAAGCGGGCGGAGGGCTACCGCTCTCCACGATACACTGAACAATAACAGGTAACGAAGAATGCAAAGGCCGTCTTGACACCACTGCTCCTCTACTCGGCTTCGGACTTTTATGGAGGCCATAACTTGCCGGCTACATCTCGACGGGAAAGCACAAATAAAAGTGACCGGACAAAAGGAATAACGCTCAGAGTTCGTGTTTCGCGTTGCATTTCCTGTCCCGTGAAAGTGGGTACGGCCTCAGGGGTTGGGTTGAAGAGGCGTAACTGCCGATGCTTGCGAAGTCCGGGAACCGCAAAACTTCACGCAGGAATTATGCGCAGCGCCCAAAGGCCACCGTGCACATGCTCGACAGGGCCGAACGGTAGGAAGCGAATGAAGACGAGACTCACGAAAGCACGGAGAACTCATTACTCAGAGTCTCCGGAGGGTACATGAACCCGCCCTGGGCCATGCTCATCCCCATCCCAGGCCATGTTCCGTTCATTGGAGATGCGACCTGCACCGGTGCGTACTGGCCACCTACACGGCGACCAAAGATAGACGTGTGTTAGTAGAAGGCCCCTCAGGGGTGCTCGTGGGGAGAAGGCAGACTTACCAGGGAGGGCTCGGGCGACGTCGATAGGAGGATTTGTGATGGAGGAGGAATTTGACACCGGGGCCTTCTCCTTAGCCGAGGATCGCCGTTCGTCGTGACAGAGGTGGCCTATCTCGCGTTTGATACTGTGCTCGCCGTGTATTGAGTGCGCGGGGTTGCGCGCGAGTCCAGACTAGCGACGAGCAATACACGCACCAGCGTTGACATGGACGGCCCTCGTCGCACGTCATATGGCTCCGGCGACAGTAGAGGCAGGCATGGTTTACTTTCCTCCGTTTTGATCCCTTCTTCTTCTTGCCTGAGCCGTCGTCGGTGTCGTGTTCGCCAGAGTGGTCGACGTCGACGCTGTGCTGCCGAGAGAGGTCGGCTGAGATGGTGTCAGGGCCAAGAGTAGGTTCGGATTGGGCCGGGTCATTCGCAAAGCCCTCCATGCTGCTGCTGTCGGGAACGGTCGGGGGGAAGAAACCAAGTTAACGTTGAGAATCCTTCTCGCGATCCCCTTCAACAAGTCTAGGCCCGTGCTTCATAGCTATGTGGGCAAACTTAGAGGAACCGCAGTTGTTGCGCGTTGGCGGAGTGGTTATAGGGCGGTGTTCGTACCCCAACCACTCGAGTCGTGCGTTCGCACCTCCTGCGGCCCATCCTTTTTTCTATACCTCTCCCAACCGATGCCGCATGTACTGTCCACCGCCGTTCACTTCATTTATTTGAGGACTACAACACAGAATACCATCATAGGGGCTCAATGCCCAGCATGTACGTGCCTACCTCATGATGCTTCAACGTCAGATGAACAGTCCGGATCAACCCTTCGCTGTCGCGCCCCTTTGCTACCAGAGGAGATGCTTCGGTCACCGTTTGCCAGTCGCCCCAGTGACGCACAGGGTCAATGAGGTGCGGCGCTACGCGGTTCACATGAAGGATCATGTCGTGCATGCGCGCCCGGATCGACGCGCCCTCCTTCTCGATGCTCATCAGCGGCTGGCACTGCACCGTGAGCTGCGCCCCGTCCTTCCAACATAGCACGAACCCGCACAGGGGCGGACCAGTCGCAACAGGGACGGGCCGTATCTCCGTAGTCCTGAGGCCCTGCGCGCGCAGAAGGGATTGGCACCAGGGCGCGAGCCGAATGGCGACAGGGATGTCGCGAATCGCATGGACCATGCTCGTGGACAGGTGCTCGAAGTCCTGCGCTTGCAATCCTCTGCGGAGATGGTGCGTCGCCACCATGGACAGCGGCGACGGCAGCATCGCGATGTGGACGTCTGCGACGCGGATAGTGTTTCGGCGTGCGCGGATGTCGTCCGGCGTGAGCATGACGGTACGGATGCAGCTCGAGCCAGGGTCGCCGTCAGGGTGGGTTAGATGACACTGGACTCCACCAGCGAGGATGGGTATGGGGTCGGACCACCCCCCAAAATTCTTTCCGGCTGAATCAGGGAGCGAGCATATGAATGCGACCAGATGTCCGTCAACCCGCCAGGTCTTGTTTTCGCACGCGAGCACGGCAAGGTACCAAGCGCGTGGGCCGGGAAGGTTCACCTCGTGAGGCGTATTCACGAGGAAGTGGCCCTTGAACGGCATGAGTGGGAGCGTGACACGCATCCCAAAGGGGGACGAGGAGTATACGGCAGGTGGGACAGCGATTCCGAGACGCTTGCAATATTGTTTGTGCGAGAGTCGTACCATCCCCGCACAGTTGACGAAAGCGCCAGGAGTGATCGCAGGGATGTCCTTCGTGTCGATAGTGAAATGGAAATTTGGATGGCCTCCAATTTGGGTCTGCCCGACATAGATCCCGTTGACAAACGATGGACGCAGGTGATGAAGCCGAGGAACTACGACGCTGGCAGGTGTGCGGTTCAGCTGGACCGGGTGATGAAGCAGATTACCGTCCTCATCTTCAAGCAGTGAGAGGACACTCCACGCGAAGATGCTCTGGTCGTACTGCTGCTTCAGGATCTCCTCCTGCAGACGGATGAACGCATGCCGCCCCTCACCGTATAACGTCGGCATGTTGATCCCGAACAGGCCCAGAAGACAGTACGCCTCGTCCTCTTCACGTGTGGTCGTGCGAAACGCTGCCCACGACATCCGTTGGGCGACGCTTGCCGACCGGACGTCCGAGATGTGCCGCAGGTATTCCGGATCTATCTGTGTGATTTCGGAGAGGAGTGTCCCCAACGTACCCTTGGTACCGATGAACTGCCAGTCCCAGGAGACAAAAATGAGGAGATTGGGTGCAAGCAGCTCTTGGAGCGTCCATCCCCTGGTAAACCATTTGCTTTGGCGGAAGTCTGAATCGGGCGCACAGATATCCTCGATGCCGCTCACGTCGCTGAGGAGTGCGAAGCACATCGCCGAGTGTTGGTACCACAGGTACATCGAGTTGATCGCCTCCGAGAGCTCGGAGCTGCTCGTCTTGTCGATGCAGCATGCGTCGAACCATAGGTACCTGTAGCCTCCTTCCCGGCAGAGAGCGCAGGCTTCACGAAGCTTTTTGGACAGCCTTGTATCTGAGAGGACAGTGCGGGAGATCGACGGCTCCTCAGTTGCGGTGACGGCAGCGAGCAGCCTCTGCCCCCATCTCAGAAACCGAGCAAGGATTTTGACTCCGATCGTGGCCACATCTGGATACTTGGAGGAAGTCTCTGCGTATTTGATAGCATAAAGCTGCAGAATATATCTGCAGTAGATATCGATTCAGCTAGAGTGTCACCGGCGTGCATTTGCCAGTGTCCCATCACGCACCTTGACCAAAAGACAAGCGTCTTCGCGGTGTTGCCCTTCCAAAAGGAGGCTTGTATGTTGCAGACGTCTTGATAGGACTGCTCTCCCTGAGGGTCCCATGTATGACTGATGATGGCATACGGCACTTGAAAATGATTTATGACGACGCGGAATTGCCCTGTCTCTGTGTCGATTAGCCTCATGATAGACGTGTGTCCTTGGAGTTAGACGTCAGTTTGCGTGCTATGCCCTCCTTCAGTTTGAAGACGCGAAGTACTTACTCGATGAAGATCGTGTACTCCGATGCGTGGTGTCTGGTATTTGGAAAGGACTACATGCATGGTCATGCATGGATATCGACCACGCGGGAAATCTGGATCACGCTGTTCATGGCGGCTATTGCGGGGAATCCCACGGAGTCGTGGTTGACTTGATACTGCTGTCTCCTTCCGCGTCGCATGAGCAGCACCGTGTTTTTGCCTTACAGTTTTGCAGCGTAGGATCAGAAAGTGGCTTTGATTGAAGTCAGAACGTACCTCAACTTAGTCGCGTACGTCTGGAGCCAATGAGTTCGAACGAGTAGCTTCAATGAGCATACCAATCTTAGAATATATGTCACGGGTGAGTTGATTTGGCCCCTTCTATGCCGACGCTCATGTTTGCAATTTACAGTGCGAGTGTCACGCCGGCTGGCGCGGAAAGAGTGGACGCATGCATATGGGAGATGGTGGAGAGAGAAAGGTCGAAACGGCAAATTCTGCGACCGATCCACGTTTGGCGCCTATTTAAGCGGAGGCGTGGACCTGGTTGCCGCGCGCGAGGCCCGAGCAAGGCTTGTCGCAAACCACGACATTGAGCCACTGAACCGAGCCACTGCCCTATCATCTGAGCTCAAGGATGTCGCTAGCTGCTGGGTACAAACAACAAGGCAATGATGAATTCAAAACCGGACGATTCACTAGGTGTGTGGCAAGAATATGTTCAGTATTGCTTCGCGACCATGAGCTCATGGAAATTTTTCTGACTGGTTTTGCACTCAGAGCATCAGAGTTATATGCAAAGGCAAGCTTTTTGTGGCTCGAATACATTTTTTGAGACTTACGTGTCCTCGGTCTAGGCTGAAAAAGCGGATTCCAGCGATCCAATCTACCCCTCGAATCTGAGCGCCGCTTTATACGAAACCGGAGACTACGCCGGCTGCGTATCTGCCATTTTACGCTCTTGGAAACTACTCAACTCTCAACGCGACGCGAGACGCGACCTAGTCATCAGGCTGTCTAGCAGGCTGGCCAAGGCACTCTGCTTCTCTGCGAGGTCGAACCCGAGCTCGCGCCTTGCGTTTGAGCTTCACGCGACTGACATAAAAGAACTCAAGGAGTTCTGCTTGACATCCAGCTCTGGTGCATCTTCTTCGCCTGCCACCGAAGAACTGCGTCGTGCTTGGCAAGACTGGGAAACAGCTGAGTCCGAGGTTGCCGCCCTCGCACAGAAAGGCGACTTGTGCCTCGCGGCGTTTTCGCGACTACCGCTGTTCATGAAGCCACTGTAAGTTGTTTACATTTTTAGCTTATTGATGTTGCGCGCTGAAGATGAAAAGTGATGATGCGAAGGAATACTACACTGTCAGTGCAGTAGATCGCAGAAATTAACATATCGGCTAACAGAGTACGCTATTATAGATCGGGCACGACGTAGTCATCGACCTCACTGCTGGATGGGGCTCCGACAGCGGAAACGATCCGCTGAAGATTGATATGCTTCCTTCCGAGAAGCTGCCTCATGTTTCATTCCTCTTCGGAGGCGTCGGGGATGGTGAGCAAACATTGTACTGGGAAACCGGAACACTGCCCAATCATCTTCATTTAAGGACGGCATGCCCTTGGCACCATTGCAGGCTTGTACCAGGCCTACAAGAAACTCTCTGCAAAGAAGCGCTCCATATTCCATACGCACCTTACCCTCCTCGACATTCACCCAACGGCGATTGCCCGAGATCTGTGCATGTTGACCCTCTTACACGAACTAAGCATCACGACTGAGCCAATTATACGCGCGGAGATCAAGGCAACGCTTATGTACTCGTTCTGTGCCGCAGTTATGCCCGGGTACTGCTACGACCGGTACGTCAATCATCCTCAATCCACGAGCCGCCACTTACGACCTAGGGACAGTCTGATGACCGTTGTGAAAGACTTGACTCGGGAGTTGTCAAAGTCACCCCCCGCGCTCCCCGCTTGGCTGCACGTTGAGGTGAACACGATTCCCGTCGTGCTCCTTGCACTCGACTATTGGACGAGAGCGCAGAAGACCACACGGAAGATGCTCGCGAACCACACGTACATGACTCCAGAAGCCCAGTGGAGCCAGCGAGCGCAAGCACTGGGCAGCGGGGGCGACGGAGGCGACTTCCGAACGCAGTTGCGAGACAGCTTCACGGAGCAGCGATGCGCGATCGAGGCGACACTCCGCGGGCTCTCTGACGCCCAGTTGCTCCAGATGCAATGGCTGCCGCAGGGAATGACTGCACGTGAAGGGCGTGCTTTCGTCAACTCGAACATGGAGATGCTCGTGAACATGATGCAGCAGATGGTTTCCACCGGGAAGGTTCCGACGAACGAGCAGGACTGGTACAAACTTACCAAGGTTTTCCTTCCCCCTGCGGAGCTCCGAGGCCGCCATCCCAGTTTCCAGAAGGCATGGTCGACGATGACGCAGGGCGCCGACGACGTGGAACGGAGCCTCGCTCGCAAGGTAGGCTCCTCCTTTGGACTACACCTGATGATATTCGATTGAACGTTACGTCCATGTAGATCAATTCCCACATAGAGAATGAGTGGAGGACGAACATCACACTCTTCGTGAGTACTTAATGTAACTTCGCCCGACGTGCACGTGTGACCTTTGCTTGCATAGGACTCTAACTATGATAGCCCCAAGTACTATCCCGGGGGCGACGGGTACAAGACGCTGTCTGGTGATGTTTTCGAGCCTGTTAACCACATCGAAGACTTCAATCAGAGGAACAAGACACGACCCAAAGGCCCTCTCAAGAACGATGCTAATGCGACCGCGTGGGATACCTTCAACGCATTCTTCGACGAAATTTCCAACGCGTTGAAGGGCCTTGAGGGTCACATCACTGTCGAGCTCATCGCGGGCGGCCTCTCCGAAGAACTTGCCAAGATGCGGTTGGGTGGAGATGTCACTCGCCCCGCCAGTTTTCCGAGGAAGTACACGAGAATGTGGTTGAGCAACGTACCGTGAGTTCTCTCATTCTAATCAGCGTCACATCTCCACAACTCGAGTTCTCAGAGATTACACACATGGCCCGATGAACATGGCGCTATACGTCGTCCCGAGCCTTCATGAAGACCAACCCGCAGGTGCCTCGTGCAACTGTCTCTTGAACACGGGTTCCTGGAGCAACGATGACCACTACTTCTACACGTGAGTTGCACTCGCCCGTCTACATGAGCGGGCGCTGATCGCGCACAGGTATACGCAATTGCTCCCTAAGGATGTGCCTCGCTATCTTGGCTGCAAGGTTATCCGTTCACAAGCTGTCATGGATGTTCTCGTCCTCGGGCCCCTACCTCTTCCTCGTCCTCTTTCGGACCTTGCCTCCCGTGATGAGCTCACGACGTGGCTCACTCGAGTCCTTTTCAACACCCTCATTCCGGGCCGCACCCGCCTACCCCCGGAGAACGTGCGGCTCCCGAACAACCTCGTCGCCTTCTTCGGTCTGCTCGTGCATCTTCATCGAGTTGGTTTCCCTGCACACTGGCTTTCCGGATTCCTTGCGCGCATGCTCAGTGGGAGCATGGTGTCGGACATCGCGCCCTACGGCGAGGTGTGGCCAATCCCCTTGGACGACATGCGCCGACGCGTTCCCTCGCGGCGCGTCCGCACGGACCCATGGATCGTGGAGTTCGAGAATATTGTCGCGACCGCCTACTACGCGATCCCGTTCCCCGTCGCGAGCACGCTTCCCCCGAGCTTCTCGTGCGAGCCGGAGGACATCCTGGTGTGGGAGGCGAAGGTCACCGCGACCTTGCCGTTCTCGACATCGTGGAACCCGTTCATGGGGTATGGCTCTCCGTACGAGCCGGTGACTCGACTCCTCTTCTACAAGCCTTCCGCCGATGCACCAGGGACGCTCATCAGTGGGATGCCTAGAATCTTTGAGGGCGCCGCGAGCCCGCCGCCTGGCACTTTCTTTGTTCTTACAGCCCAGGAGCTCGTCCAGTACGATACGCGTATCAGGTTCCGACTGAGCAAGCGTCGCGTAGAGAGCATGCAAGCGGAGAAATGGAGCATGGTCGCATACCGCCAGGACACGGGTCAGCAAGGTCAGCGGTCCTAGCTCCTTTCACAGCTGAGACATAGCTGACGAGATGTCTCCATAGCTACCCGCCCCGTGTCAGCTGCGCAATGGACTCCCGTCGGCAAGGGCGCCGACGCTGCATAAGTTTTTCAACGCACCTCTTGCCGCTCTTGGCGGATCGCATGCAACGCATCGTGACCAGGTCTCGTCGTCCGAGGTTTGTACGTGCTCTCATGGTTGCCGGTTGGCACACTAAGCTGACTTCGACCATTCTCAACAGTACTGCTTTCTCCGGTCTTGTACCTTACAATGTATCATTGGTTCACAGCAATCGTACTTGCCTATGAATAGTTCACCGGGGTCCCCGACGCCCGACCACCCCCTTCGAAAGAAGCCAGCCAACCGTATGACACTACTAGTTCTTTTCGAAGACGTTGCAGCAGCTTCAAGCTCAGGAGACCCAGGCGTCAAGAAAAGCGGCGAATGTGAGTGTTCCATTGAAGGATCTTCGGCTTCTGGTCCAGACGTCGTGCTAGCTGGCGTGCCCGGATTGGTTCCCTGGCCCAGAGATCAACTTCCTCGACAGTCGGTGCGAGTTGCACTGTCGCTGGCTCTCGCGTAACTCTGCACGCGGACCGCCGCTTTTGACCGGCAAGTCGGTTATTCCCAGCGGACGACCTTCTACTGGTCATAGAGATAAACAGTCTTTCAACAGGTATTTACCTGGCCTACACCACCAAGTAAAGATGGTCGTCAGTACCTTCAATCCCATCCTACACTTCAACCGCGCTTGTTGCCGGTTTGAACGCCTTTGGAGGTCCGGACGAGAACCATATGCCCTACCACAGGGCTTCCCGCATTTGGCTTCACCGTACGTCGCTAGTGATAATGCCGCTATGGAATACTCACCAGGATCCCCAGTACACGGCTTCGGGCAATGCTTCCAGGCAGAGAGGGATGTAGAAGCCTGCCAACTATAACAACAAGCGACCTCCGTGGGAAGTGCCCCTGTTTATGGGCGGGACGGGACACCGGGCTCGGCTGAAATGTGCACATCGTAAACGCACCAGGCGCGGGTCTCCCGACTCCAGGCGTACCTTGGACAGTGCAAAATCATTTAGTGAGAAACATGCTCTCCGGCGGCCCTGGCTTTAACGCTCAGTCTGCGATCCCACAGGTCCTAACGTTATGTCGCGTCGGCTAGCACCCCCGTCCCGATATTGCGCCGAGTCCTTTGCCAATGTGTCATGGCACGCAATGTCGTATTGACACGCTCTCATTCGATCAACACTAACTCGGGGGCCCTCGATGTTAGCGTCCAAAAGCTCATATCGTGTGGAGCATGCCAACCGCAGGCTATATTCGTGTATGCGGTGCTTCTCGCTGTTGTGAGCACAATTTATGACTAGGCTAATCATAGAATAGGTACACGACCCACTAGCGAAGTTTATATCCCTATTCAGCTCCACAGGTGCGGCAACCTTGGTCAAAGAAAGCAGGGCTGCTGCGCCCACTTTGTCTATGTTAATCCTCCTGGAACGCGCGGGAACCGGTGTGAGTGGAGCGTCGATACTTTTCTGCTTCTATCTCTCACAGAACATATCCGGCGGCAACAGCTCACTCCGTGGCGTACAACCTCCGCCGTCCGCGGGAATGCAATCGAGGACGACAGATCTGACGAGTCGACCTCTCCAAAACGCCTACGTCAGCTATGCATGGACACAGCTTTCATCTTCCCTACAAAGACTCTCTTTGGAGGGTCATTATCACGCATACGCGGTATCAATCCTCCCATGGAGGACAGTCAACGTATGCCTGTTCAGTAAGTCGGGTTGTGCTGCCGCGGGGGTCATATGACTAACCGATCCAAGAGACTGGTGCGTTGCTATTTCAGTCAACGCCGTACCACTCGACGCCATTCCAGTGTTTGCCCATACCCTTTCCGAGAGACCGTCACGGCCCATTCGGTTGCCCAAGCGAGCGAGCTGGCAAACTTACGTTGAGGCTACATGTCCAGTTCCCCGCGAGCGTGCCGCGCGGCCCATACAGCGGCTTCAGCATGGCACAACCGACAAAATTTGCGCCACGCTCACGGTGAGTGAGGACCTTCACTGCGAACAGTTTTCAATTTACTGAGCCTAATAGACATGAGCAGATGGGAATGGCAACGGGACAGGGGCTGGTAGCAACCTTCCTCTCCCATACTGGATAGGTTGCGCGCTCGTGGGTTTCCATGTCTGCTCCCTGTCGATTGTACGTTGAGTAAGTGAATCCGACATGTGTGGTTGTTTGTGAGAAGCAGACATGTCCGACTGACCCTTCCCGTTCTCGAAGACGCGGATCGCGAGCTCGTGGGGCTTTACCCATGTTACTGCTCATAGGACCTTGGACCAGCAGTACGCCGTGTCCACCTGTCACAAAAAATGTGCGTTATGGAAGAACGCGCATGGCGACGATAGGAAATCGATATTGCGTGGCGGAGGAGGCTAGCAATGAGGACTCGGCATTCGAGTCGGCCAGTCTGGACAGCTCTACGAGTACGACCCGTTAAATAGAGGGTAGCTCAGAGCGGTGACCCCCATCGACCAACCACACCTACTCTCCTCACCTCCTCACTCGTCTCTACCTGTAGCCATGTTCTCCAAGAGCATCATCTCCTCCGTCGTGCTCTGCCTCGGCCTCGCTCTCCAGGCCAGCGCACACGCAATCATCACCCCCGCCCTCGGCGTTAGCGGAACCGCTGTGCGCGCAGACGTTCAGCGCCCTTCCGCGGCCACCGAGTGCGGAGCGATCAACATCCCCCAAAACATCGACAGCTCGACGCCGGCCGTCGCGAACGACGCTGGCATCTTCAATGTCACGATCACCGACTTCAACGGGTACGCACGTCCAGAGATTACTCTGCTACTTCGCTGTACTTACTGCCATCACAGCGGTGTCGACGGCTCGCGCCAGATCGCGACCGTGCTTGTTGACCCCACGGGAACCGGAAACTTCGCTAAGGCCCAGCCCGCGACCATGCTTTTGAACGGAGACTTGGTGAGATGCGCTCACGAGGTATATTGGAGCCTCCACTGACCTTGCTCTCGTTTAGGCCCCGACGGTCGTCGGCTCTCAGCCGCTCACGGTTCAGCTCCCCGCAGGCGTCGAGTGCGCCGGTGGCGCTTCCGCCAACAAGTGCCTCGTCTCGTTCACCACTGCCGGCAACTTCGGCAACTGCGTGGTCGTTGAGCAGTCCGCCTAAGCGGCGCAGCCATAAACTTAGGTGCGACTAAGCTGTTCCGGTTTACGCGCAAACACGTCCTCACGGTCAACGCACACAGGATGTCCTGGTCACATCGTGTTTGACATAAAGGGTTCTGAAGCGTATCTCGTATTGGGTAGACGTTATAAGACAGCGGTCGACCTGCTAGTTGGGAAGGCCGGGGTGTACCATCATCATCATATCCAGGTTTTTACAGTTGAATGACCTTTCAGTCTGGCCCGAGTGAACTCGCACATGCATTCCAACTCGCTAAAACCGTACCGCGCCGCGTGAGCAGCGAGTTCGGAGTGGCGTCGTGTCTCGTGTAGCGTCGGCCGGGGGAAAACTTGGATGAGTGGTATGACACTTGTGCGAGAAAGCTGTCTTTGTACTATGTGGTACATGTTTGCTCGGTCGTCTAGTGATTTTGCGAAAGTCGTTCATCTGAGGGACCGCCAGCGCAAGGGGGAGAATTCATATATACCAGTATACTACTGAATAGTATAGGCCGGCTGGCTACAAAATGTCGAGGTTATCAGGCACGACATATTTGCTATGTCTATGCGCGTCGTATAGGCCGCTTCAGTACACAACACGAGCCTTTGCAACAAACAAGATGCTACCTCGGCCATCCGCAGATGCAGCGGCGCTACTATCGGTCGGTTGTGACCGCCGCTGTCAAATTTCAGGGCCTGACGTACACCAAGATGAGCTTGGAGTATGCTGCTCAATCAGTCACGATGGTAGATACCGTTGCATCACTTACCTGAGCTTCGAATGCGCCTCCCTCTATCGGCACATCATCAACATCTGTAGACCCGTAGTTACAATCCGCTGCGGGCATCCGCTTTCCTTGCGTCTTCGGGCGGCGGGGGAGTCGACACTATCCACGGGTGCGGACAAGAAACGTTGAACAGTTGGCGGCGTCGCAGTTGAACGAACTTGCTCTTTCTGATTTTGATCTGCGGATGGCGGTGGGAGCGTCGAACTTCGTCGGCGCGGGAACGGGGATCACCTTAGGCAATATTCTACTCCACGCGGTTGAGTAGAGTACGTACTTGAAAGGCCCTTCCGTATTTTTCAAGGCAAAAAGTTTATTTGAGTAAGAGAGTATTGATGTGATCAGGATCATGGGTGCACACCTGCATGCATTGCCAGTCGATAGACATGGAGCGGCATTTGAAGGACTTGGGAACGTACAACTGCCATTTTTACTCCCATCCGCGCTGCGACGCCGGGCGTAGTTTTGATGGTTTCCGCAGCTTGAGATCTGGGTGTAACAGAACCTCCGGTGCGAATTTCTGTGGCGCCAGTGGGAGGGGGGTGGGCACGGTGCGACGTGTTAGCGCGAGCTTAAGACCTGAACATCGCAAGGCTGGTACTTATCGCACCTGCGTTGCATCTCTGGCTTACCTGCGTCAATCTGCGTCAATATTGAGCGTGAAGAGACACAGCCCAAGAGTGCGTCGCGCGCGGGGGATGCTGCGCCGCAGATGCGTGTCATATGGTTGCAGACGTCCGGCGGAGCGCTGCAGAGCGCTGCCTGTCCCCCCGTGCGTGTGCGGCCCCGACTGGTGCGACCCAACTTACCTGCGGGAGCACTGAGCGAACATTCGAGCCTGCTTTGACTCTCTGGACAAAGTATTCGGTGCACAATGTTGGTATGCATGAGAGCGTGAGGGTGGGTTGACGCGGACGTTGGAGGACGCCGCACTCCTCGCAAACGCCCGCCTTTGGTCCGCCTGTCTGCCACGTGGCAACGAGATCCAAGATCGCGCTGTCGTCGCGCTCAACTCGGGCGGCACAAAAGTTGTCCTCTCGACTCACGTCCGTGTTCGCACTTGCGCAACACTTGCTTTCGGTCGTATGGACCTTTCCTTTGTGGTCAATGGGGCGACGAGGCTTACCTATTTGACCCTTCCATGCCACACGGTAAGGTCTTAGGGCGGTCATATCGCCTCCAGAGTTGCGCCTGTCAGTGCACGACGGAGTCGGGTCGATCTTCCGTGGCTACAGCCTCAATCATGGAGTCGTAGCCTGGACTCAGTTGCTCATGGCATTGCCGCCACAGGTACGTCTTGCACCTGCGATGATGATCCCTCAACACTCTGTTCGACAGGTTCGGTTCTATCTCGTTGCCGTACCTATCCCTCCGTGAGTTTAGGAATCCCAATATCTCTATCAGCCTGGCTTCTCCCAAAGACGTCTTCGGCCCTATTTAAGAGCTTGACAACGGTTCGGTCGCGACAGCACAGATTCATGATAGTGCCCTCACGACCTCGCTGAACTTCCGCTCCTTGAACATGTTGCAGCCCCTCAACATACTCACACTCCTTTTCACTATCGCATGGTGCTGCGCTACGGTGCTCGGGGCGCCCCAGAAAATCGACAACACCAGTCCCGAGATCCAATACACGGGTGCTTGGAGCATGTTCAACACACCAGGAGATGGGGACTTCGGAAACACGCTCGCATTCTCGCAAGATAACTTGGACACGGCGAAATTGCAATTCTCGGGTGCGTATTTGTCCGTCTTTCACCTGCCCATTTACCGCCTCTGTCCGTTTCATCTGGAGAAGGCTATTTTAATAGCTGACGACAAGCCAGGCACCTCGGTCACTGTCTTCGGCGCCCTGAAGCCAGTGGGGACATGGAACATGCACTCTGCGTACTATCTGGACGACTCTTCTCCGGTGGGATTTATTCCGAACCCCCTGGTCGCCTCAGAACAGCATCAAGTGACATTCTACTCCTCGGGACCGCTCAGCGACGGGCCTCATACTCTCACAATCGTCAACATGGGTCAACAGTTCTGGTTCGACTTCATTGCAGTCGAGACATCCGCCTCGACGACGACGACAACGAAGACGGCAACGGTGCCGAATCGATCCCCCGGTACCGTGACGCTTCCGAGCCCCGTCCCGCCTACTACAACTTCCACTAGTCCCATCCAAACCGCGTCCTCAGTATTGCCTCCCACAGTCACGAGCACGATCCCCTCGACTTCTTCCTCAACTATCAGTCGCTCTAGCTCTACTCTCACGTTGTCGTCCTCGGCGATACCCACTACGTCTGTTTCTTCATCTAACTCAACCGAAACGACTAGCAACACCACAAGGAGTCCCGCATCGTCGAATACACCAACACAGTCATCCTTGACACCCACGTCGAACCCTGACACTACAAACGGCATCGCCACATCACCATCGTACAGCTCCACATCTTCGACCTCCGCTACTCCCACGAGCACAGGCATAGATAGCGGCCACACTCTACCTCTCGGGGAGATCATAGGCATTGCTGCGGGCGGAGCAGCCCTCATCCTGGCGCTCGCGCTCGCCTTCTTCGCGCTCTGGCGCCGCCGTCGACGCATCGCCGCGCGCGCCGCCATCTCGCCATTCGGTACGTCCACCCCCCCCCCCTGCCGATTTCGCGCCCCTCATAACGCTCACCACGTGCAGTCTCAGACCCGGAAGACGACTCAGACGGCACGCCGTCCCCGCCGCCCGACTACTGGCCGTCCGAGAAAGGCAGCGCGATCGACCGCGCGCGGCTCAGCGTCCCCGTGCAGCTGCCCGCGCGGCAGATGCTCGTCATCACGCACGGCGACCACGCTGGCGGCATGTGGGCGGACTACCAATCGTCGATGCCGACCCCGTCCGGGTACCATGCGTCGGAGTCGAGCAGCGACGGCGATTTGAAGGCGTTGCGGGCGGACTTGGCGCGGCGCGCGAAGCGCCCGGCGGCTGCGTGCGTGGCGCCGGAGAGTCGGGGTGTGCCGTTTTGAGGTGTGTGTATACCCGGGATTGAGGGCGATGGAGCTTCTTGAGGTTGGGGGTTGCCATGTAGAACGCCAGAGACGTTGATGAACTTCACATTTTGAGCTGTAGCCGCATGTACGACGGCCTTGGTGATAGGGCGGTTGTAGACACGACATCCAGTCCCGTTCTGTTTGAGAATGGTATCTTATTTGCCAGAGCCTACGAGTCACATTGCAGATTGCAGTTGACTCAGTCGGAAAAGGTATTTTCTTCGTCTACTATGCTTTCCCTTGTGAAGACGGACTCACTGATGCTGCTTTTTCCAGATATTGGATGAAGCGTCGTAGGAACTGCCGCTTGAACGAGGACAGGTACCTGCCACAGCCCCATCTTGGATTTGCTCTCCAAAGTCTTTGAACTCGCTCCCGTGCATCACACAACAGGTACACGAGGGCGCGCGAGGATGCTCGAGCGCACAGGTTCTGGCATCAAGTCGGCCGAAGCGGGCCGACCAGTTGATTCGTCGAGTCACTGTGGTGCAAACTCCTCTCCAGCACGGCTATTCCTGTAGTTTGGTCGCACTGGGTACGTTTGCAGACGCATCGTCAAAGGGAGATCTGGATGCACACGCCGTCGCCGAGCTCCCATCATCGAAAGGGCAGCAGACACCGCAACACATCTGGCCGCCGCACCGACCACCAACCGGCAGCTCGAATGGTGGCGAAGGCACAGTGTACTCAAGCGCGCCTTCCGATCCCAGTCAACTCAACGCAAGCTCAGCACCGCTCATAGTCTCTACGCAAGCAGCGAGCTTCGGCGGCCCGCCAAATGCCCCTTCAATTCGTCCATCTAACCTCGCTCATTCGGCCCCGCCGCTTCAAGTTTCCGCGGACTCGAAGGTTCATGTGAACGTCCTGGTCGTTTCTGGATCTTTGCCCGTGCCACCTGTGGAGGATCAGGAATCGCACCACGCTGCCGCAAGAACGGGCCCTAGACGGTCTATGGATGGAGGTACGCGCATAGCGGGTGGACCTCCGGGACAGGCGATCACGATGTCCGAAGTAGGGAGCCAGAGCGTGGCACACACCCTTCCGCCTTCTTACGACCTTTACCCAAGTTGATTAGTTGTACATTACAATCATGGTAACAACAGCCACGGGGATCGGAGTATGTACTCACTCTTATACAACTCGATCTGAATGTCTCGTGCAAGTATTATCACGACAAGGGCAAACGGTATACGTATACAGCAGGCTATGGATCGACCGTACAAAGTCAAAATTGGGTGTGATACGAAGGTGCTGAAGTTATGGAAGCCGAGTCCAGCGCAAAATCCTCAAACGGATTACCAACGTTCTCGGCCGCCATGTCAAGCGGGCCACCAGCAAGCCGCACCCCACCGTCGGCGGATTTCTTGGGCCCGTGCGATCGTCCCCTCTCCACACCCCCTGGACTTCTGCCTTGGCTGTCTCCAAGCCCGCTCGGGTCTTCAACATGTGCCGTGAAGGCGCTATTGCCACGTTCCGAGGAAGAGGCCGTGTAATGTGTGGAGGCATGCGGCTGTATCGAGATATCCGCTTCAGTCTGATGACCTGGACGCACAAATGCAAGAGGCGGAGAAAGGATAATCGAGGAGTTGACGTGGTGCGTCGAAGCTGCAGGGAATGGGATAGCCAGGAAGGACCGGTCCGGGATTGAGCGATGACGTCTATATGACGGCGGAAGCGTCGACATCGTCGCGTCGGTTGCGTATCCGTCTTCAGCAGTGGAAACACTGCCTCCACCAGTGCTAGCGAGAGATCGGCGCAAAGGGGCAGGTTTGGGACCATGTCCCCTTGTCAATTTTGCAGGGTTCGAAAGGGGATGTGTCGCTACAGAGACAGCGTCGGGGGAATTGCGAGTACACAAGTCGCTTTTTGTGCTTGTCGGACCACGTGGAAGTGCAGTATACGAGGCTAGTATCTCGTAGGTTTTGGATTTTTCATTGGCGTACACAGGGGCGGCATATACACGTGGGTGTAAGGGAAGGGCGGTGGTGGGGTTCTCTGCGCCCGGGATTGGACGAGCAACGTGAACATCTCGCGCATCGTGGATGGGAGAGGTGAGACTGCTTGTCGTTACTAGCTCGTTGTGCTGAACGTTCGCGTCCTCGCCGGCGAGTGAGTGCCACCTTTGGCGGACTGGTTTTACTCTAGTGCGTCTGAGACGAGCTGTCACAGTAGGGTATGTCAATCACTGTATTTTGGTTATGAGCGACGCGTCACGTACCCACTAACCCCTTCGCGCTCCTGACCGCAGCTCGCGCCATTCGCCTCGGCAGCCATGCGATTGCAAATCCACTGGCTATGACGAAGAGGACTACCTCGCCCGCTCCTATTGCAACGCCCTTGGTGAGCGCTCCGTCATCTGCTCTCGCCTCAATGACGAAGGCGCGAGAGCTGGTAGTCAGGCTCTGTTCAGGTCAAAAATTGACTCAACATGCGTTCTGTGGGTACTCACATACGTTCCTTGATTAGGAACCGCCATGAATCTTAGTTCTACTGGGCCTTAGATAGCCCACTGAACCGCTGTAAACGATTGAATCTGTCTTGCACCGGCGAGTGGAGGTGGAAAGAAGAGGGCAGAAGTCGTGAATCTAAAGCACAGCCCTGCTCTTTCTCTCCTCTTGTAGAACTCCCTCATCATGATAATGTCATGGCCGGGAGGTTGGTCTGTCGCAGGGTAATTCCACGACTGACTTCAGCTTGAGCGTGTCTGTTATCACAGGTCGTCGACGGCATCTCAAATGCACCCCTCCTATCTGTTGAGCGCACGCATGATGCTATACACTGCTATGTAAGTGGCAACCTTCACGAGCCTATTGGTAGCGCGTCAAATCTCTTACGATGTCTGCCCCCCTATGTCCGTCGTCCTAGAGATGGGACGCAGGTACGTTCCCGCGGTCTTCCACGCTCCCCTTCTCCAAGCTGTCCGCGCTCTTGTTGTCGACGTACACCGCTTCCTCGTCTCCGTAGTTCGTCTCCTTCACCGTGCGCAGCACCAGCCATGCGAGCGGGAACGAGACAAGCATCGGGATCCCCGACGCGAGCTGCTCGTTTAGGAGCGGGGTCCCCACTGCATCCATGCCGAACGCGCCCGCGGCACCCGCGGACTGCACGGCCTTGTAGAGCCCTGCGTAGCGCGCAAGCGTGAAGGGGTCGTTCGAGAGCGCGGACATGATCCAATACGCTAGCGCTTGGTAGCAGGCGTATGAGAAGAAGTCTGAAATGACGTGTCAGATCGTGTGCGCTTGTGGGGAACATATGTGTAAGACCTACAGAAGAAGAAAAGCGCCCCCTTTCCCTTGTAGTTATCGTCGTGGTAGTTGATACGGTTGGCGTCATTCAAGTCGGCACGGGTGAAAGTGACCTGCCACGCGAGGCCGACGGACCAGACGACTGCGACGACGATGGCCACGGTTGCGAGGCCAAGGTAGCCTCGGGTGCGGCGACGGAGCCCCTTGAAGTCAAGGCAGAAGTACCCTATCAGGAGCGCGCCGACGATGGAACCTGCGCTTTCCAGGGTCGCGTTCAGTGCCCGGGTTGCGCTATCAAAACGTGCGGTGTTGACGGCGCTTTGGTAGGCGTAGAAGTAGTTCGAGGCAAAGAACATCGGCACGAGCGCTGCGGTACAGTTGTATCAGTGTGCAAAGCCGCACCAAGATCATGGAATCCATACCGAGCATGCGCCAGTCCATAAGGAGGCGAAGAACTCCCAGGACTTCTTCGTGCAGCTTCGTGGATGCCTTGAGCTTGACGAGCGTACCGTCAGATCGGATGACCTTATGCGGAGGTAGGACGAGGAACGACGAGGCGACACCAATGAAGATGATCACCAAGAATGCCTGAAGAAATAGATATTAGCTTCCGATGGTCCATAGAATGCTGGAACGTGGGATGCTCGCTATGTATGTAGAATTAGAGACAGCAGAGAGCTGCCCGCTCTCGATGTTGATGGCGAGGGCGATGATGGAACCGAGCAAGGAACCAAACTGGAAGATGGCGAAGAAGATGGAGAAGGCCTTTCCCTTGTCCTTTTCCAGCGGATAAGACATCATTATCGAACCTTGCGCCGACCATAGTAGCGCAGCGGAGATGCCCTCGAGGGCCCCCGCAAATATAACGAACCAGCCGGCCCGTTGGGTCTGGTAACTGCGTCGGAATGCAGCTTGTCAGCTGCGCGCCATGTAATGGAAGAACATAACTTACCACCAGAGCGACCCAACGTAAACCGCGTAGCCAAGCGTTCCAAGGAAGAGCGTAAGCCGTGGACCAAGTACTAGAAAGGATATGTGAGAGTGAGAAGCGCATTAGGCGGAATAGGTCGTACAGTTATTGATACCGCCGCTAACCAGGCCGGTGACGGCGAAGAGGCCGTAAAGGACGCCCTGGGAGGTATCCGACAGAGTGATGTCGCTAAGACCTCCTGCTCCTAAGTTCGAGACAGCACTGAACATGCCCGCCGTGGCAAAGCTTCGGGGTCGTAGTTTGCGATCACGTCAGTAACCAGAGGGCACGCCAGTTATCAGCCTCGACCCACCAGGTAAAGCCGACCAGCACCACTTGCGCCGTGGGAGAGCTGAGCGGGACACACCGAGTTTCAGCAACGTTTACATTGGGGTGTAGAGAAAGACGCACGTGTACCAAACAGGGACCTTAAACTCGAACATAGCGTCCCTGGAGCGAATGCCTGGGTGCAGGGTGGTGCAGGCGGGCCTTCCGTCGATACAAGCACAAGTGAGAGAGCTGGCCTGGGGTGGTAACGCGCCGGTCGCGCTGTTATAATGGGAATATCTCTAGGGGTAGAAGCGACGATCAGTAACGGCATACGGCGCGAAATCAAGGTGTCGGCGTGGTAGCCTGCCGCTGGCCAGGCTGCTGTTTTGGTATCATCTATACCCGACATCTTTCATGAACGCTAGTAATGTTCATATGAGCGACTCTCTCTCGATCTGGGCTCTGAGTTTCCGCTGGCATGAAAGAGATCTTTAAGTAAGGGGAAGCATGTCAGTGTGGAAGGAGACGTACCATAAGCGAGGAACACGCGCCCGATGATGCGCCGGTCCCGGCAGTATGTACTGGCTAGGAAGGCCTGATGCGCGCGCCACCCTATGTTATCCCCTGTCCGTTCCACGCTCACATCTTACGGGCGAAAACAGACTAGTCCCCGATGCAAAGGGGCTTGGGGCTGCGTTCATGGAATTTCAAGGGCGTGCCCCAGGCGACTCGCCTGAGGGCGCAGCAGCCCATCGAGATTTGACGTGGAGATTATGCATGAAGATACGGCGCCTGCGTAATGTGTCACGATTGCGGAAGTTGCCAGCAGTATGTGTCAAGGGGCCAGGCACCAGCCATTCCTAAAGTAGTCCGTGACGAGAGTTAGAGCCAACCCGTCGTGAGTATAGATGGACAAAGACTTACATTTCAATTGCGTGAAGACACCCAGCGGCGCGGTTACACGCACGTATGTCTGAGTCCACCCATGCTGGTACTCGAGCCAAATGACTGCTCAACATCTTTGAACACAAAAACGAAGCTGAAGTACAATGCTGAAGAAATCACTCGTCGTATATTCGGTGCCTGCGCAAAATGCATACGCGGCGTCTCGCAGCAAACCTATCGAGACCGTCCGCAGTACGGGCAGTACGATATGTACCTTGAACCCCACGGTGATGTCGTAACCCACTTGATCGTTGAAAGGCCTGCAAGTGTCCTGGAGGGTTCATGGCGCACGGCCGCCCTGACGAGTGGTCGTTAGCTTTGGAACAACACGTACCCGCGGAGCTCGGTCCCACCAGCAAACTCACCGGCGTGCGCGTCCAGCCGCCACAGCAGCACGTCCCAAGCCCGGCGAGCTGGCCACAGCAGAACTTCATCTTCTTCCCTTCCTCGATCGTCTCCTTGAAGATGTCCCAAGGCTTCCTTACAGACGGCAGTGCGTTCCAACGACAATCATCGATCCCGAAGTGCTTCCAAAACGGAACAGCACCCCCGTCCGCGCCGTCGCCGAACTTCACGACCAGATAGTACGCGCCCGTCGCCGCATACGCGCTCCCAAGCTCGCGCCGGCCCATCTCGACCGCGAGCTCGCGCTCGCGCCACACCGCGGCGTACCCGCCGTCGTTCCCCGGGCACGCCGCCTCGTCCCGGTGCGCGATGTACACCCCGCGCGGCTCGAACTGCCGGTGCGCGGGCAGCGCGGGGTCGTTGCGGTACCGCAGCGAGAAGTGCACGATGTGCTCGGCCGCGGCGCGTGCGTTCCCCGGCTTCATGCGCAGGAAGTTCGCGAGCACGCAGTTGACGAGCGTCGCGTGGTGGAACTCGATGAAGGCGGCGAGGGCGGGCCAGGCGTTGGGGTTGGTGCATAGAACTTCACGCTCGAGGATTTGAGAGGCGGAGGGGAGGGGCGCCCGAAAGCCTCACATAGGGCTGATCACCCAGGGAGCTCCATCCAGTGCATCGCCAAACGCTGCCTCTATTGGTTTATCGTTCCATGCGGCGCTAACATTAAGCGGAGAGACAGAATCCATGTCCCTGAGATCGTCAGAGGTAAAGCTAGACGAGGCCATGGATGAGCAGCAAGTCGCGAAAGCCTGCAGAGGTACAGGTGCGGTTATGAGCGCCCATAGACGATGACGTCATATTATCTCACGCCTCCAAGCATGCGCATTGCGCGCGAGTAGGGATTACTGTACCTGCCCGACCAATCCGGCGGGTCACAGGTCACAAGGACCCCCGCTGCGCCGCATTTTGGCAGTTGTCCCGGGTCACAGCGGGTTCCGCCGCTCCAGGCCGTATTTTGGCGGCCTGTCACACCCCAAAATCGCTCCGCCGGCGGCCCTGCGGGGCAACCGCGCCGCTTTGTGGTACGGACAGTCACAGTCGCGGCCGGGCGCGCCGCTTTTTGCGGTCGCGCCGCTTCGGGAACCGCGGTCACACCCCAAACCCCCCGCCGGATTGGTCGGGCAGGTACAGTATTTGCAACGCGTTTTTTCTGTCTCGGGTGGAGCCCGTCTTGTCTCGGGTGGGGCAACAACGTGCGCCTGGCGCGCGTTAGAGAGTACGTATAGCGGGGCAGCGAGCTCGTCGACGGGATATTGGCGCGCATTTTGTGGAGGCCGTAAAATCTTGCTCCACCGTACTGTCGGTCTTACCCCACGAAGGCGGCCCCCGTTGCAAATAATCCCTAGTGCGTTTTGCGGGTCACTTTGCGCCTCTACT